ATTTCAGGAGAACCAAAATATATTCAGATAGTTTCTTTATCTGATTTAAGAATATCAAATACCTCAAACCTATCTTTGACTTCAGATAGGCAGCTGGTTCCCCAAAGAGGCTTCTTTGCACCTCCTTCTGGCTACTCCAAAGTCATCCATCCCCAGGGACATGTCACTTGACCTGACCTTCAACCCTCGCAGATTTTTGCTCAGGGTATCACACCCTCTAAAAAGTATCCTCGTACAAGGTTAGTCCAACGAGCAACATTCACCAGATTTGGTTTGCGAATACCAAAGATGTTTACGTTCTCAGGGCAACTTGAACAAGAGAGGAGTACAACGACTGCAAAACTTGAGCTAATAATTGATGGTGTTCATTATTATGTTTTGGTAAGTTTTGTAACATATCGTTAGGACTTTTCCCGAAAGATTCCCTCTGTTATTAAAACACACACTGTCACAACCATTGGTGCACCTGCTGGATGTTTCATCATGATGGCACATGCACTCAAGGAGTGGCAAAAGTTGTGAACCAACCCTCACTTGTAATTTGATGAGGCAGAGTTATGAAGCAAGCAATATGAATTTGGATTTTAAGACTTCTTTTGCATGACCATAGTTTGAATATGTGAAGTGCGCCCACAGTTTCTGCTTGATTTCTTCTGATTTTATTTATGTATTTATTTTAACCGGAGACATTGAAAATACCTCAATCTTTTGGGGAATACGTGGCGGTGCAAACCCAAACGCAGCACGTATTATGCCATCATTTCAATTCAGGTCAGATTTAGATTCACTTGTCTTTTACCTAGAAGTAACCTGGCACTGATTGTTTACAAATATGAAATAGTCTATACAGTTGAATGAGATTCAATGCAATGGATCTTACTTGATGTTTGGTGCAGGTGTGTCTAATGTTCTGACCTGTAAGTTTATTTGGATCCATTTTCTGTACTCAAGGCTCTGGTTGACAAACAGACTCTCATCTCAGAACTTAGGACGCGCTACCACTTTGAAGCCAACATGGCTGACAATCGAAATCCAGTCATCCTCTCTGCCAACGTTACTCGTGAACTGGGCAGGAAGATGAGCTTTTCTGCCACGATGAAGAATGTGTTCAGACTACCGGCGTCACTTTCAGGTATACAACAGTTTTGCCATGGAATTGTCTCATGTTACCTTTCACAATATTATACTTACATAAATTGATTGTCTGTAGTGGCCCTGGAGCGAAGGAGGGACAGCCACAGCCGACAGTACTCTCTGGAAGCCGATCTTCTCTTCCCCGACGTGATCGGCAGCAGAATTCTGGGAATCATGGAACAGAAAGGGGCGCTGTGGAGTTCTGCGCTTCGTCTCAAATATGGGCTGGGCGGTGAGTGTTAGAGAAACATCCTGCAACATGATTCTTTCTTTTCACTATACATACTTTTGTATACAAAAATACCTATTTCCTTGCTAAAATATCGCGAATGATATTTTGGGCATGGGTGTATGTTGGTATAATTATTACGGATTGCTAATGTCTTTTCGCCCCTTTGTAGATGACGCCCGGCAACTGCATCAAGAGTGCCACACATCCCAGAGTGTTAAGAGTGAGAGGCATGCTAACCTCACGTTCACGATGAGAGCTGACCACGAGTTCTACTGTTCCAACACGGCTGCTATCAACCACAAAGTAACTGTTTTATGATGATATGACGATTTATTATGATATGACCCATTATTACATGTTACATTAGTAACGAAAAATGTATTTTGCTCGTTGAACTTAGCTTGCTTTGACCAACCAATTTGTGTTCTTGTCAGATCCATTTCAGGCACGAAGAAAGCCCCAGTCATGTGAGATCATCTGTGGATATGAGCTACGGTAAACACTGGGACGAGATAAACAACAAACGCACGCTTCTTCTGAGCCAGTCCTTTAAAAATCAGACCACGCAAAACCACACCAGCTACATATTAGAGGTAACCCGGGCCTATAGTTTGATAATGTCCGGTTTAAAATTCTGTGTCTGTTCTGTTTGTTTGAAACCTAATGACTCCGTTAGTTGTTGTAGATCAGTTTTAAAACACTACTGTGCACTGTATACTTTTGTCACATGATTCCGATTCTGATGAGTACCCACAATCTTGCATGAAAGACTGAAATCGTCCTCAAATCTTTTCAGTTCAATTTACAAGTTCCCGACAAAGATTTAAACTACCGGACCCAGCTATTGCATTCCTACATTCGACAACTGGGGTCCGACAGCAGTACTCATCTTAAAATCAACTACAACAACTTGACGCCTCTTGTGGTTGGTTTACACTGGAAAAGTCCTCCGAATGACACCCCGCACAAGAAATGGGAAGGTGAACTTCGCTGTGAATTGTATCATCTCAAACTCTCTGATGTCTTTTTGTGCCAACGTGAAGTGACAGACACAGTATTTGACTTCCTCAGGAACATTTAATATGGACACTCCGTGGCTGTACATTTACACCACCCACAAGCTGAGTCAGCACCATCACCACACGCTGCAGCTCAACTCTGAACTGACAGCCAACAAATGGGTGACAATCCGGAATCTCATCCTGGAGGCTTCCTACAGAGACAAGGGTCGCGAGAAGGAGGCCCATCTCAAGCTCCGCACTCCAGCTGTCACATTCTTGCAAGTAATGTGAAACTTCACCTCCTTGATTATGTCAGGTTCAGTGATTCTTAGAAATCAGCGGTGCTCAATCTGTACCCCCATCCCTTGACAGGTAGGAGGACTGGGATTCAAGGGAAAGAAGAATATGAAAGCCTCCTGTTCTCTCAGCTCCCTGTGGACTGCTCCCCTGAGAGGCGAGATCTCTCTGGAGACCCTGAAATCCAGCCTCGCCCTGCAGATGTCTTCCAGCTACGGCAAAAAAAACATCACCTTCGCAGCTGCCCTGAACACCAGTGACAAGGTGCTCCGCTCCCGTTTGGAAAATGCATGTGCTTGTCTTATTGACCGTATTCTCAACTATCCTGTTCAAGCCTTTGAAAAAGAGGCAAGCGAGACTGAGCGTGAGTTTATTGGAGCCCAAGAGTCCCCCTACTGAGTTTGAGTTTGAAGGGACGTTGGAGGAACTGATGAAGGACAAGAAGATGTACCAAAAAACAGCATTGCTGCATCTTAGGTCTGTTCACGACTTTCATTTACACTCGTAATCTTTTATGGTTGTGATTTTGATGTTTAAAAAAAAAAAAAAATCCCTTTCGCACAGACAGCCTTTCAAGTCATTTCCTCAGAAGCTTCTCCTTAGGGAGACTTTCACTGTGGACCTCCTGAAAGGCCTTTACATCCTGGAATCAAGAGCCGGTTTCTTTGGCATGAAAGAGATCATTCACACGCTCACCATTGGCTCCAAGCTGCCAAGCCCTTTTGTAAGTGCAATCAAATTGTGTACGTATTTACAAGAGGATTGTGTGAGTTGTTAATTCGGTACGGTATTGTTGAATGCATCTCCTCATATTTAGGTTTGCTCTGCACTGGTTCATCCTTTCAACACAGAAACATTTCCGTCAGACTGTGAGATCTGTGTTATCACCTCCAGCAACCAAGTAAGATAGTTCTCAATTCTCAAGTGATATTCAAGAAGTATCCGCCATTTCTTTTTCGATGTTTAACATCATTGCCACTTCCAGTTGTACACTGTAAATAAGCCGAAATGGGTCACCTGTAAGACAATTTAATATAATAAAAAATATTTCAGGCAACATTAAAAGCATTTAAATATTTACATTTTAATGATTCAATTCGTTTTAAATTGCGCGACATGTAATGTTTAAATCAAACATTAAAGACAATGATTAAAATAACGCTGTTCAATTCGTCTTTTTTAAGCATGTGTAAATGGCCTGAAACATGTATCGGCGTTTTCCTTCAAGACCCAGAAAGGCATTCGAGGGTGGCTCCGGATCGGCAGCCAAGAGAAGCTGAGTTTCTTTGGGGAACTTCTCTCGAATTCATTGGACCCGAATCGGCCAGCGATAAAAGTTCAAGCCAACGTCACCCATCAACTCGAGGTAAATTAGCCCTTGACACAAACTGACAATTTGAAAATAACAAACAAACAACAGCAGCAGATTAAAAATGGTTGCCTAAATTACACCAAATATAATGTTTTTAGGTATTTGTCCGGCCTCTATATTTACCTTTTGACAAGTTCAACCTTTTTTGCTGTTCCAGCTGCAAATCCCCTCCTTTGCTTTGGTGGAGGGAGATGTATGCTGGAGCCCCCAAAACAACAGAGGATTTGATTATGTAGTTCGCGGGAGACTAAAAATTGAGAGACAGGAGTGTCAAGTGAGTAAACAGTCGAGGTCTTCATTAAAGTCAAACCGGGCAGGTTTCAAATGCTTGCTTTTTTGAAACGCCATTTTCCCTTCAGCTTTCAATGCAGCTCAATGGAACTTCAGACAAAATTCTTCTTTATTCAGCTCTCAGGCATCCTTTCAAATCAAAGATTCCCAAATCTCTGGAGGTGGGTTGGTTTTTTTTTCCATTTTATGATATAGTGTATTTTTGGACAGATCATGAAATAGGAAACATGGCATTTGTGAAACAAATCTAACTAATCCGATTGGAGCAACTATGTGGAAAAATTCCCCACAGGTTTATTGTGATTTAAGTTTATCATGATTTAGAAAACTAAGAAATCACCATAAATGAATTTTGGGAGAATGTGAGTGCATAACCTCCTAATGTTTCTGTTTTCACATGAAGGCAAAAGCCACTGCTAACTTGTCCACACCGGCTGGTAGAGGAAGTAGCTCCATTTGTGTCAAGGCCGATGGGAGGGACAAGCTGATATTGGATGCGCAGGTCTCTCACTTATTTCTGCAGGAAGACAAATCTGTGCTACTGGGGCTCAACTTCTCGCAGAGTTTGCTGCCCAAACTCACAGACTTGCATGTCAAAATGGCCGCCCACATGTCTCGACAAAGGCACGTATTGTTTCTCACTTGTTTTCCCCAATTGATCAGAAAGCATTGATATCTGGATAGTTTTCTTCTTCACTTCTGGCCTTCTAGCGTGTCTCTACATGGTTCCTATGCAGAGGGACGTAACACTCTGTTGGCTCAGGTGAAAGGTTCTCGAAGGAACAGCAGTGGTCTTCAGTTTACAGTGTCAGGGAAACTGAGGCATTCAGTGACTAACCTCGCTATTCTGCCCTCCATCCTGGGGTTAGATGTCATATTGGGACTGTCTGACGCCATTACTGAAGGTAAAACGATTCTCGATTTTGTTTTTGTCTTGTTTTGTTAATTCTTGATTTAATTCATGACAATTCTTCAAATGATTCAAGGGCAAGTCAGAGTCAGAGTGGAGGAGACTTTTTACAGCATGGATCTGAGGCATCAGGAGGAAAAGGAAGAATTTCTTGACCAGAAATTGTCTCCCACCCGTAGCTGGATGTGTGTTCTGTCAGGGGCTGAGAATGTCTGTGTGAATGTGAGTAGGCAATTGGAGAAAAAAGGGGTGGGTGAGGTCCACATCCAGCTGTCTCACGTGTCCCGATTACTCAATGCCACAGGTAATCGGTAACTCATACTTTTTACGTAATTCAAGCAGATTGACTTAATATTCCATGACTGTTGGTTTATATTCCATATTCATCCATACAGCGGTGCCTTGAGATATGACTCGAATTTGTTCTGTGACCACACTCGGTCGTATCTCACGGCACCGCTGTATTCTGTCTTTCTGAATTCTCCATTTGTTATTACTGCATAACTTTGTTCTAAATCCGAGGTGTAAAATTTAAACCAAGCCTTTCTTGCTGTGTGAATCTATTAGGTCTACCGCCGAGTAGTAGTGCCCATGTGAGTTGGGACCAAGATGAAAGTAGATTGTCAGCCTTTGTAGAATTGCAGGCTGGACCTGAGCATTTAAAAGGTGAGTTGAACGGTGGCAGGACAAGCCGACTTGTCCCACGCTGGGAAATCCTCTCGGCATTGCGGCACAAAGTCGAAGCACTACAGAGACGAGGCTTACCAAACTCCATGCAAGTCAAAGCGCATTGTGAGGTGTCCAAAACTACTTTCTTTATTATGAATATGGATTTTGAATTTGATGGTGCCAGTCTCATTGTTTTTTTTTCTCCTAACAGATAAATTCCACTGGGGTAGATGGCAGGCTGGCATTTGAAATGGAAGAGATGAAAATGATTGACGCCCTTTTAGTTGTTGGAACAAAAAATAACACAGCTGTATTCATAGCATCCGCGTGGCAGCAGATAAAGCTGCTGCAAGGGATCATACCTGCCATGTCGCAGGTCAGTTTTTGGGGTTGTGAGCTCTTGTCTTTTTCAAGCATGTCTTGTTTTGCACAGTGAAGCAACACTCCCTCCAAAAACAGTAAGATTGAAGAGTAACTCAACTCAACTGTATTAATGGAGCACTTTAAAACAAGTGCCGTACATGACATGGAGCAAAATAATTCACCCAACAACGAACAATCAAACACTAAATTAATGACGAAGACAGTACAAAGCACAAAAAAACAGCAAAGAGGATTTACTTGTTTTCATTGTGGTCCACATCATTCTGGTTTTAGCGGTGAAACAGAAAACGCATAATCACCAAGCGTGTAAAGGTATTGCAACAATCATAGTTCAGTACATAGCTTGGTTCAAGTTCAATCCCTTTGGATAGAGTAAATCCAAAACAAACTGCAACATTGTCTTGCATTTGGCCCTCATCATCGTTAAAAGCTTGATTGGAACAAATATTTAGGAAAAATGTGGACACGTTTTCATGATCTCGCCCGGCGCCCCCAGTTTGACACCTGTGTTTTACAGCTCTCACGGTTCACATCCGTAATGTGCTATCCCACAATGCTATTTTCTTTTCTAGTTTCTGCTTTGAACAGCAAAGTCAACAACAGGAGGGGCGTTGGGGGCTTTTGTTTTCACAGATGAACTGCACAGGGGACACAGCTGCAGACCATTTCTCTGCGCAGTGCTACGGAGACGTGGCAGGGCGCCCAGTGGAGGTACGAGCATTTCGCTCTCATCGACCACATCGCAGGCTCTGCTATGCTCTGTCACTTGCACACCTGAGCCTCAGAGCAGAAGCTAAAGGCTGTTTGAGTCCTAACGGTCAGAGGGAGTTCAAAGCTAACCTCACACATTCTTCTGTGGTGCTGCTGAGCTATTACGGGGTGCCCACCAAATCTGGCCTCAGGCTGCTCCTCCGGCCCGGGCCTCAGAGATGGGCCTTGGGGGTTGGGTTGGTGGTTGGCCCCTGGATAACGGATTGGAATTCGGGGCTGAGAATGGAGAAGGCTGGGCTGTATGGCTGGTTTGGAAAACTTGCATATGGCAGTCGTAACGTGACACACAAGGCTGAGATGACTGGTCGCGTGAGGTTGGAAAGCTGGTGTCACATCTGGGCAGATGTCACTATACGGTGGGATTCGATCAGCTCCAGTTTGCTGGTGTCGTTGCGATGCAGAGGGAAGGGAAGGTTAGTGTTGGAGCAGATTAGAAGACTCGACGGGGATGTGCTGCGGAAGACGTCTCTAACGGCAGATGGGCAAGCAGTTAAAGATGGACTGAAAGCTGCTCTTTACTTCCACAACCAACACGACTCCATCCGTCACATCTTCTCTCTACGACTGAAGCAACGGAAGACTGAACGGAGTGGGACCTTCCAGAATAAACGGGCCTCCCTCTTCTCCTTCCTCCCAAGCACACCGGACTTTCAAGGTTCTGGTCATCTCCTTGACAACTTCCTCAATGGTAGTGCTCAACAGTCTGTCCAAAGCCAGTCTGCTCAGTCAGGTGTCACCGTGGCCTTTGAGTCCTTCCACTCACTCAGGATGACGCTTGACCAAAATGTGTCTCGCGAGGTACCAAGGGCACTCGCTGTAGGTGTGCTCTCCACTGCGGGTCAAGTCGGGTTTCAGCTGGAAAGTGATGAATGTTCCATGCTTCTGCTGTATCAACAAAGGAGAGGAGAGAACGGGAGACGCCACTGGACTGTTTTTGTTCATCAGCAATGTGTCTTTCTGAAGGTTAGACAGGAAACAAGATGCATGTCAGACATCTTGTTTCCAAGCTAAAGTGGAGATCAGAATTTTTAGAAGAATACTTTGTTCAACTCTTGTTCACGGAACAAGAAATGATCTCAACTTATTTATTACATTATGACAATTTGAAAATTTGCCACAGATTTTACAAACGGAATAATTCAAATGTATCCTGTTCCTAACATTTTTCTTCTTCTTTTTGTTGTATAGGTGCTCCTACCCTCACAGGCATCAATGAACATCTCCATCAACTCTTCTGGTTCCTCTACAAATGTCCGCGTTGATCTCCTTGCCCAAAATAAGCAGAGAGGCGGATTTACGTTGTCGCTTGCGTTTCAGCCTAGTCTAAGTTTGAACGCATCAGTCCGGCACTCTATCGAGACATTACAAGCGTTGGGGTTCCCTTCTAATGGCGCACTGGTCATCAGTGTCTTAGCTACACATTTGCCTCTTGTAAAGGTTGGCCTGGACATTGGAAACTGTCACTTCAGCGGCCTTTTGGATAAAGGCAAATCTTCAGAAGCAGAGAGCAATGGATTTTCTTATAGTGTAAATGTGGCCAACTACTGCCCTGCCTTGCAGGTAAGAAACGGTGTCATTTCAAAAAGCGCGTACCTCCCTGTCCAAGCTTTGGCCCAATTTAAAGATCAGATGTGATTGATTGTATCCATAAAGTTGTTTATTATGTAGAACAAAAGCCGTATTCAACATCTTGGAAAAGTATGACTTTATATTTTCACTGTTCATCTTCACAAAATACTTCTTTGTTCTTGTAAAGATTCCAACTTTTTCTCTCTTAAAACAATATGACTTCAGGCTCATAAATTTTTTTTCTCTAAAATGTTGAACTTTGTGTAACGCTACAACTTACTTTTTTAAAACAGTTTTAAGTTATATACAGGTAGTCTATTATTTTAGATGTACAAATACCGGTAGATGTCGTAATTAGTATTAGGAATATGAGAGGCGTCCATCTTATAAGGGGTCCCTGAACTGAAAAAGTTGGAGACCCCTGGCCTACATGAACAAAGCAGCTATGCAACAGAAGCAAACCACAAACATGCTCCTTATCATTTTTCCTCTTCCACAGGGGACAATCATTCCTGTGATCTTGGTTCTTCGGGGGTCTTTGTCAGGGGTTCCATGCGGCCGTATGATCAGCTCTTCTCTGAAGGCAGACAACCAGGAGCTCGCGTTTGAGCTACGCGAGTCCTGCCGCTCCCCACATCTCTCTGCAAGCCTTACACACTCTTTCTCAGGGTTGAGGAGCCGAGGTGTTCCCAATATGGTCTTCATTGAGGCCACTGCTCCAGGAAGCACTGAGCGGACTGGGACTCTGTTCCTAAAAGCTGGAGCCTGTCAAATAAGATTTGTTGAGGACCAAGACAGGGTGCGGCAGTTCTGGGCTCTGCAATCAGGTTGCCCAACATTGCAAGTACGCTTTGTGAGGAGAAGTAGTAAAAACGTTTTCGTGACTTTTAGATGATTCTCATGAAGCCTGAGACATGACAAAAACAATTCCATTGCGGCATCATTTTCATCCATATCATGTCTGGGGCTTCATAAATTCCACCTCTCCTTGTCAAAAATATTTTCAGTGACCTTTCCTCATTTCTGCTCAGGCTCAGTTGAATGGATCAGCGTGGCGGGATAACGAAGGCAAATGGGCAGCCGTGGTGGACGCAAGCGTGGACGGCAAAAGGTGTTTCCTGCAGCTTGTTGTGCAGCCATGGCCAGAGTTAAGTGTGGAGGGTGAGCTCAGGCATAAACTTCCCGCTCTGGGAAATTTCCCTGAACTCAGCAAAGTGAGGGTAACAGGCAAACTCGGCAAACAACAATATGCCACAGAGGCTCTGGTTCTACTTGATGAATGTGCTGTGAGAGCCAGAGGATTTGTGATGTCACGTTCTGGCCTTCAGGGGTCACTTGTGTATCACAACAACTGCAGTGTCATTCAGGTAGCTCGTGTCCAATATCATTCACACGGTTGCTTCCTGTTTGGTTCACTTTGTCAAATGCTGACCTCATATTTGTGCTTTTTAGGAGTGGGGTAGTCCGGACATGATGCAGGCCTCTGGGTCCTTGACTATCACCCCAGTTCATGCTGAATCTCAAATCTCCATGGCGATCGACAAGGCTGAGTTACATTCATTAGTTGCTCTGAAGAAAACCAAGGTTTGAAAATCATAAATAACTCGAGAATGCAATTTCTGTCGTAATTGCATGCGACTGCCGAAAATCCAATGGTGAACTGAAATGCTGCGGACTTTTTAAAATGTAGAATGTGAGACTTTAAGTTGGAATGGTTTGAATCAGTCAAGAATTGTCCATAGAAGGAGGAGATAAATATGATAAATATGTCCATCCTAATTTGGGAATTCCTTTGTGGCAATCTGGTGAATGTTATAATAAACCTCCCTCTGTTTGTATGGAACTGAAGTTTGAAAGGTTAGTCAACAATTGCGGATGGAAGAGGTATGTAAAATGTCTTCTGTGGGAATTTTGAGAACATAAAAATAATATATGTCAAGAGTATAAAGCCAAGGGGAAAAAAGAAATTTGACACACCGCCATGTTTTCCTTCAATTTCTTGTTCATTTTAATGTCTGGTGCCACTAGTCGGCCGGGGCCTAATTTAAATGGTTTGAATCGGTTGAGATATGTGGAAGGAGTAAGGGGGAATGATTATTTTTATTTTTGTTTTGGGTGACCCAGTAAACACATACATGTAGCAATCCTGTCTTCAGAGAGCCTTAATAATGCCATGTTTTTCTTTTTCAGGCACAAAATGAGGTATTACTTAATTTCAACCACTCCGTGCCCCTGTTAAAGAAACTCGGTCTTACAACTCACACGGAAATATTACTGAGTTCTGGGAATCATGGCAATCAATCGTATTATTACAGGATGTACTGCAGAGCACAGAACGAAAAGGTAAGACGTTTGTGGGACCGGTGACTGTACATTTTTAAACTAAAAATTGTCCTTTCTGGATTACAGTTCAACCAAGAGATGACCGTGGAGAAAGCATTTCAGACAGTTATTGTGAAGAGTCATTTCAGACATACACTGAGCCGCCTGAATTCAATGGGCCTCCCTGGCAACAGCAGCATGCAGGTACATTCAGCCAATCACCAACTCTGACACATAAAAGAGCCAATATTTTAATTTGTGTGTTGATTCTACAGCTGGAAATTGGGTCCTCTGAAGGGAAGGCCCTAACCGTGAAGCTCCAATCTGGGCATTTGCAAGCAGGACTAAGACTAGATCTTAAATATTTTCCCATGACCAAAGAGATAAGAGCAATCATGTGGCACAGTTTCCCGTGGCTACAGCAAAGAGGGATACCGCACAATATCGAGGTACGGTACAACAGTAAATGAGGTTTCCCTGTTATCCAATGAGATTGAAAATAAAGATCTGGAAAAAAAAAACAACCTGCGCTAACACTCAGGTCCTGTTTTCGTGCCCAGTGCATGTGTTTCCCAAAGTGCAGTCTAAATGTACACAGAGGTGTAGTTTTGTTTCTTTTGGCATTTTCGTAGATGGCTGCAAGGAGAGAGAGTTTCCACTGTTGTGGGAGTGAACACAGCCAAATTTTTTGGATTGTGTGAAATGTAAATGCATGTTCGTAAAGGTGACATAAAATCTTTTTTTTTTTAGGGCCAAGAAAAAATACATACATTTATTTATGTTTACATGTATGTGTCCCAAAGGGCTTATGTTCCACACAAGGGATGTCGTCCCAGCTCCAGTCCAGGGCTCAGGTTACTTTAGACGGGCACAAGCTGCTGGACTCGGGCGTGAATGTGAGCTCGGTTGACGGACGTTTGGGTGTACTTCTCTCCTACTCTCCCTCACCTTCAAATCAAACGTGGAAGCACTTCAGTCTCAATACTGCGGTGACTGTGCACTATAAAGGTCAGCTTGTCTTAATAGGCTGAACTGAAATTTTTTTGCACTGTAGAGGAAGAAATGTTATGATATGATATCCTCTCTCTAAAGGTCCTTTAAGGAGCATCTCAGTGCACGCTCATAATCAAGACTGGCGGCTTCGCTTGGTCGCAGACGTTGCAGGGTGGGGGCTCCAGGGAGTGTCCAAAGAGGGCCGAGTTACTCTCAAGCACATCCAAGCTGGCGACTCCAGTCCTGCCTTGCAAGTAAAAATTACACAGAGCAGAATGCACCGACGACAGGACTGTTTGCAGATTGCCAACCATCTCTCTGTTTGTTCATGTAGGTTGAGGCGTGGGGAAGACTCTCTGGGTCACAGTTGAAGTCCTCCATGGCACTGAACCCTGAACTCGCATCCTCACTTGCAATCATCATCCAAGGGCACCATCTGCCCAACAGGTAGGCGTGGAAATAACACAATTCTGAAAATTGGCTTCTACCCAAGGTGAAGCACCCATCTGCTCTCACGTGCAAGCGATTAGCATTTTAAACCAACGCACATATAGAAATGAGACTGACACAGGGTGAATCTGCCTTTTAATTGTTTTGCCTGTCACTATACATCACTGGGATTGATAGATGATCAATTCTACATCCTTTGTAGCAAATAATCATTTTTGGACCAATTGGAATCACGTGTCATGGAACAGTTTTTGGTAATCACTACAAATGACGTTGAAATATTGTTTTGTTCAGCAAGGACCTGCTAGTCAAGGTGGTCCAGAGTATTCCCAAGATGCAGATCTACTTGCCATCACAACTCAATTTCCACTCACAGGTCGGTAGGGCCAAGAAAAAATACATACATTTATTTATGTTTACATGTATGTGTCCCAAAGGGCTTATGTTCCACACAAGGGATGTCGTCCCAGCTCCAGTCCAGGGCTCAGGTTACTTTAGACGGGCACAAGCTGCTGGACTCGGGCGTGAATGTGAGCTCGGTTGACGGACGTTTGGGTGTACTTCTCTCCTACTCTCCCTCACCTTCAAATCAAACGTGGAAGCACTTCAGTCTCAATACTGCGGTGACTGTGCACTATAAAGGTCAGCTTGTCTTAATAGGCTGAACTGAAATTTTTTTGCACTGTAGAGGAAGAAATGTTATGATATGATATCCTCTCTCTAAAGGTCCTTTAAGGAGCATCTCAGTGCACGCTCATAATCAAGACTGGCGGCTTCGCTTGGTCGCAGACGTTGCAGGGTGGGGGCTCCAGGGAGTGTCCAAAGAGGGCCGAGTTACTCTCAAGCACATCCAAGCTGGCGACTCCAGTCCTGCCTTGCAAGTAAAAATTACACAGAGCAGAATGCACCGACGACAGGACTGTTTGCAGATTGCCAACCATCTCTCTGTTTGTTCATGTAGGTTGAGGCGTGGGGAAGACTCTCTGGGTCACAGTTGAAGTCCTCCATGGCACTGAACCCTGAACTCGCATCCTCACTTGCAATCATCATCCAAGGGCACCATCTGCCCAACAGGTAGGCGTGGAAATAACACAATTCTGAAAATTGGCTTCTACCCAAGGTGAAGCACCCATCTGCTCTCACGTGCAAGCGATTAGCATTTTAAACCAACGCACATATAGAAATGAGACTGACACAGGGTGAATCTGCCTTTTAATTGTTTTGCCTGTCACTATACATCACTGGGATTGATAGATGATCAATTCTACATCCTTTGTAGCAAATAATCATTTTTGGACCAATTGGAATCACGTGTCATGGAACAGTTTTTGGTAATCACTACAAATGACGTTGAAATATTGTTTTGTTCAGCAAGGACCTGCTAGTCAAGGTGGTCCAGAGTATTCCCAAGATGCAGATCTACTTGCCATCACAACTCAATTTCCACTCACAGGTCGGTTGGATGCTAGACATGCTGAGTAATGCCCAAGGCACACTTGAGATCTCTAAACAAATGATCTGTCTTTTCTTCTGTCCAGTTGAACCAAAGCCAGTCCGGCATGGGGGGTTTGGTCGAGCTGTTGTCCGGCAAAAGGCGTCTGTGGAGCTTTGGGGAGTTGGCGGTGATTGACGGTGGATACAGACAATCTCTCGAGCTCAAACACTCGTACCCTCAGGTATTGTTGGGATTTTGTACGCAGATATTTCACCAGCTCTGCCGGACGTGCCTTCACCTGGCGCTTCCCAGTGGTTGGGGTTTTCGGCTATCGCGGCTTGCCAGAGGAATGATATGCAAAACGTGCTTACCAAGAGTGGCTGCTCTAGAGAAGGCCGTGCTGTGCTTCCATTCCAAGACGATATCACATTTACATTGCTTTTCTTCAGATTCATGTTAATCCATTCATCTAACTCTGTCTGTGTTCTGCAGTTGAATCTGCTGCCAAGGAATGTTGCGGTGAAGACCGTGTATGAAGCCAGGAACTGGAGTTACCTCGTGCAACACGGAGCCTTGTGGGGAAAGCAGGAGTTGAGTTTGTCGGGGCTCTACACGGCACCTCCGTCACTGCAGATCGGGAATCAAACCCTAAAAGGTGAGTGTGATGCAAAAATTCATCAAAGCTCACAAATAAGCTTTTTTGTTTCATCTAATAAATAGAAGGTCCAGCTGCGCTGCAGTCAGTGAATACACTGTGTTCTCTCTTACTGTTACCGGTTGAGAATCACTGCTGTATTCTATTTTCTGTCCTTTGTCACATTTCAGATGTCAACGTTTTAAAACAATAAATCATGTTCTTTCACATTTAAGTGTACGGTTTTTCATGTGATTGACCGTAGTTCAGATGAAGTGGCGGCCTCGTTTGACCAGTTTGGAGGTCGCACTAGAGCGCTCCCTCCAAGGTTGTCTGGACAGCGTTTCCTTAGGTTGGATGAAAAACGGTCGACTGGAGCAGGTTGGCCTTTGCACACACTGAAACAGATGACTGTCAGCTTTTTTTTTCATGAGGAATGATTTTTAATCACTTTTGTGTTTTATCTCTTTCAAGGTCAGAGCTCTCAGCTTGCGGAGTCGATCCCGGGAGATGAATGAGACCAAGTTGGAGCTGAACCAGCCCTTTTCTTCATTATTTAGCCAGCTTTCACTTCACACACTCTCACACGGCTCTGAGAAAGAGCGGCGCAGCTTCCAGCAGGTGGTGGTACACGTTCAGGTTCAAGCTGCTGATTTGACAGCATGAATATTGCACAGGTTGCCTGCCCAACCAGTCTGAGGTGACCACCGTTATCCTCCTTTCCATATTTTTGCTCAACTCAGACCCAGCTGTCTTGGCTCAGCGGATTGCCGGTCAACATCTCCATCAGCCTAAACAAACGATGGCAGCTCAACTCCAGCAGGGGGCAGGCCTGTGCTCACTTGTCAACCCAAACGGTAGGGAAGCAACAATTGGTGTCAATCTCAAACCAGAGTCCATCTTTACTCTGAGCCTAATACCGTATATTTGTGTGTGAGTAGATAGTGGCATCTCCTGTGAAAGGTTGTGTCTCAGTCAGCCAGGAAGGAAATTTGCTCACCCAAAATGCTGAGCTAAGATGGGACAACAGGAGTGTAAAACAAGGCATGAAGTATCAGGTACATACAACTTGCAAAAGCTTGCACTGGACTGATTGATGATGTTAATTCTCCTTCTTCTAGCAGATCTAATCATGTTGTGTGTTTCTTTAGAAAGGTGCACGAGGAATGCACAGCCTCCACATGAATATCGGCCTGGACAAAGTGTCGCCTGCGCCATGTCCCTCACATTCCGTCTTAACGAAAATCCAAACCAACCTCAAAGATCGCTTTGAATACACGGTTTTGCTGGCCCTCTGCCCGCCACAGCCCGTAAGTACGTGGCTCCGAGTCTGGAAACTAAACTCACATCATACAGTAAATTAAATGTGAGAAAATCCAACAGAATATTGTTGGAACCAAAACTACCAGTGATGTCAATATGATGAACATAATTTCATTCGATAAAATTCTCCCGTTACATGATCAATTTTGATTTTTTTTTTTTTTTTGTGATTTTAGTTTGTCATTCCACTCAGCTGAATCATCTTGATTAAGACAAACATTCAATAATTAAATAAAACTTCAAAATATATGTGATTTTTTTTTTTTTTTTTTTTTTTTTTTTAGATGAGCGGGATAATTTGCATATCGTTACTCATGAGACAAGTTGTTTTTTTCATTTCTGTTGTCTGGCTTTGTGGAGTATTTTCAGTCGGGAGCTCACTAATCTTTTTCTTATTAGTTTGACATGTGGAGTAGCACTTCTTCAATGCAATAGATAGGACCAAGGTGGGGCACTACATTCCAGTAACCCGGGCTGGCTGACAAGTCAGTCAATCAAAGCTCCACCAGCTGCCACTTGTCTGTAAATGGTGTCGAATTGTATTACAGCGGGACCTTCATTCACAAGTGTAGCAGCTTACATTTTTTCTGAGTTACAAGTTGTCGCCTGGTTGATTTGTTTGATTTATTGATTTATTTTTGCTTTGTATACCGAGCCAAAATTTGATTTACGGCGTGCTTCAGATACGCTACCACTTGAGTGAAGCAAAAATAAAAGGAGAAGCCCTAACACTGATACAATTTCATCAACTGCTTTTTTTCCCTACAAATTCAAAGAACTCGATTAACGTCCTCTGAGAGAGATTGCACATTTTTGCTAGGGGTTGTACAACATTCAGACAATGTGCAACCGTTTCCATGTGTGTCTGTGTTTTTCAGACTCTATCGTGGTCAGGATCTCACAGGCTGAACTCTGGAGAGGAGCTGTTTTATACCCAGTCTCGTCTGTCGGTAACAGGACGCCCCAACCTCTGCAGCCTCACGCTCACCTTGACCAACTCATCGACTGTTGAGCGCACCAACGTGACTCTCTTTACTGAGGTGCAGACTGGGGTGGGCAAGCAATATTGCACTTTTTTTTCGAATATCATGAGCTTTTTTTTTTTTTTTTACAATACCGTGAATTTTTATATATTATGGTGAGCTTTGTTTATAATATCGGCAACCTCCCCACAATATAGTGATAATTATCACATCGTTAGTTTTATTTCGTGAAAATATTGTATTATGTACATCCATATTATATATACACACACACACACATAAATTTAACTAAAAATGTGCAAAAACAGTGCATGAAATGAAATCATAAAATGTCAAGCAAATGCTTAAAGATGTAATTGAACAAAGGCATCTAAAGCAAGGTGACCAACCCCCCCCCCCAAAAAAAAAACAAAAAACAAATACAGTATGAATTTGGATAATTGTCTGTAAAATATTTCATTCAAGAGCGTTAGGGAGGTGTGAATGTGCGCGTGGATGGTTGTTTGTCTATATGTACCCTGCGATTGTTCGTGGTAGGTAGGTATGAAGTGCCATAGAAATAAGATGGATGTGTATGGTGATGTCCGAGTCCCTGCTCCTAACTAAGTAATTTTCACGGGGTTGAGTCCCCCAGGAAACCAAATGCTATGGCGAGTTAGCATAAAAACATTCTATATTTTATCAGTCTAGGATGGGGAACTGGAGTGTGGAGGTAGGAGCCAGTGCTTTGTCATGGCTCCAGGGGTCTGCTGTTCTTGTACGCACAAGATTGGACCACAGAGATGAGATGTGGTTCAATGGCACACTGGAGGGAAGATGTCTCCAGACCACTGCAGGCTATAAAAACGGTACATAGAGTATCAGCCGCACAACGCTCACCAAATAATGATGCTTAGTTTGACTGACACATTGAATGTACTTGATGGTTCTAGCTAGTACGGTATGCACAGTATGTACTGTATATGTCTATCCGTGTATGTGCAGGTACTGGCCTGAGTGAGAATGTTTCTGTGGGGGCGTGTTTGGGGACAAGTCGCAATCTGATGCTGGCGGTACAAAAAAGAGATGGCAGCAGCCAGCCCGAAAATTTAGGAAGTCTGTCTGCAGGAGCAGCCAATCGGAGGCTCACGCTGACAGCAAGTGGCTGTGTGGAGAGTCTGACTGCAGTGGAGGTAATGCTGCTTCAGACATGTTACTGCATTTCAGCAGCTGTAGGATTCTACATATTGACAAAAAAAAAAAAGAAAAATCGGCAAATAGATGACATTTCACTCAGGAGTCCAATATTCCAAAATCTTTTTGTGTGACTAGTGTATTTACATTTCTCCATTTTTGGTGTGTTTATTTTTAAAGGCACGGATTCAAGCTGTCGGCTCTCAGGTCAGACGCAAGCTTTTGGAGAGGATCCAGACAATGAAATATCTCCTTGCTGAATTCAGACAACAGGTGACTAACCGGCTAATACTGCTGTGATGCGATGTCGAAAATATCTCAGAGGAATTTACTGGCACTGTAAAGTAGTCAATAGAAAACTGGCACTGATGTAAATTCTTTTCTTTTCCTTTAAAAAACTCAAAAAGATTCTTTTGTGACAAAAGGACACATTTTACAAGCAGTTTTTCCCCTTTCTCCAGTCCAGAGACAGCGAGTTGCTCCAAGACGTGAGTGCCGTGGCTCTGCTTATCGTCCAGCAAGCAGAGTCTCTGTTGGGACACAGAGGCAAGAGTTTGTTGGCTCTGTGGCACAGTAGCTCCCTTCGGCACATTGTCACTACGAGCCTGCCTCGATATCTTCACCTTTTACAGCACACCTCGCTACTGGGACAGTTGGAGCTGAGGAGTATGTAATACTCGTTTTTCAATTGTGATTGCCAACAGTCATTCGCAGGCGTTACGATCCGCTCGGGGCTTATATTTCCGTACCTCGATCCAAGAGCAGTCATTGAGTGTGTTTTCCGTCCACAGAGCCGCTGGCCACTCTCGCAGGTGTGTACCAGGATGTGAAAGGACAGCGGCTGGAGGCTGTGTGGAGGGAGGCTGTTGTTTTGTGGACCGACAAACTTCTGAAGGCCGCCCCTGCTTTGCGGGAGAGTCCTCAGCTCAGGCCGCTAGCTCGAGGAAGCATGGCTACGCTCAGCCGTGCCATGGATTTGGTAAGGAACTCTTCAAGATCCTCTCAATTGTTGTTTTTATGATATCAATGCTTGTTCTGTGATCCAAACTATTATTACAGATTCACATTTGCACCATTGAATTTACCGGCATTCCGCCGTATTTCAGCTCAGCTTTGGCTCTTCACCGTTTGTTATTTGCGCCGACTGACACTTGAATTTACTTTGTATATATTGAGCAGGTCTATAGTTATTCTGTTCCGCATTTATCAGGCAGGCCAGCACACGTACCACTGGATAGAAAGCAAACTGGCAGTGGCTTTTTCCGGACTCCGGAAACAACTGGCTTCACTTTATCGATACTCGCCCAGGTACCGCACGTGCATCTCAAAAATATGTGCGGAGAGATGTTGCACTTGTTAGGGATTTTAGTTCATTTGTTTCTCCAGTGAGTGTTCTGTGGCTGCGTCTATGTCACTTCCCCCGCTGCGTTGGACCCGTGTGGCTGAGGCCGGTCTGGTGGGGATCCTTTTAGAAGAGTGGCTCCTCAAGCCCCTGCAAAGCCTCGCCTCCATTAGACCCACTGCTGAACTTTACCGCCTCAAGAGGAAGATCATGGACAGTCCGTTTATTCGTAAGAAAGACTTCAATGTAATGAGCGCCGTTCCTTACATACTGTTGCGACATTTAGATTCTTTATTTTGTTTCTACCTCCAACAGACCAAGCTTTGCTGGTGGCAGATCAGTTTGTAGTCACGTTCAATGGCCATCTTTATGAGCTGCCACCTTCCTGCCCACTTCTTCTGGCCCAAGATATTAGTTCCCAGCCCTCATTCACACTTGTGCTCAATTCACACCCACACAACCTCCTCCTGCTGCGGTTGAATAACAGTACTGTCAGGATTCAGCGCAGCGGAGAGGTATGGGAGCATTCACCATGATGTCACGTGTTCTTTGGGGGGCACGAATCCGGTGGAGTGTTGTTATAAGAGTTGTTTGTGTCACAGGTAAATGTTCAGTGCAACAAAACCGTGACACACATGTGGCGGAGTGATGGCGGCGTCATCGTCCGTAAGGGATCACGCATTGTGCAGGTATCCAGTCGCAATGGCGTGTCGGTCTCATGTGACCTGAGAATTGAGGTGTGCAGCTTGACTCTCGACGGATGGTTGCATGGTGAGAGAATTTAAGACACACATAAAGGAATGATAGGAGCGCCATGTCATACTTCTTTGTGGACAAAAAAAAAAAAAAAAGATCCCGTGACCATGCAGTGACTTCAGACGACTAAATGACATCACCATTAAAAATAGGTGTCCACCCCGCCTCATTGACCCCTCCTTTGAGACCCTCAACCAAGCCACCGTTTTTATCAAACTAGATCTTAGCAATGCTTATCATTTGCTGCGTATCCAGAAGGGGAAAAAGAAGAAAACAGCCTTTAAGGTGGCCCTTGGACACTTTGAATATTTGGTGATGCCCTTTGGTCTCACTGATGCTCCAGCCATGTTTCAAGCCTTCATTTATGATATTCTCCGAGAGAGATATTTTTTTTTTGTCTGGTGCCGCACTGTAAGATTTCTCTCATGTAAAATATGCGCCTTGGCTGGGAGATATACAGTATACGTCTGTTTGTGTGCATACAGGCAAGTCGACGGGTCTGTTGGGGACCAATGACAATGAAGCGGGGAATGACTCACCTTTGCGTGATGGTTCCCAAGCTGAAAACATGAAGGACTTCATCAACAGCTGGCAGGTAGGTCTGGCATTTATTTGAGCTGTTCTCTGTGAACAATTTGTCCCTCTGCAAATGGAAATTATCCGTTGGCTACAATCGAGGATTTTTACATGGATGTTCATTCTCTGTGCCAAGGTGAATTCTCATTGTGCAAGACCAACAGCTGAAAGGCAATTTGTAGCCACCAGGGCAGTCACATGTGAATTTTTGTTCTCCTCTGCTGATTCTCCTCTCAGTTCCTGTTTCGGGGTGGTGAGTATGAACGCTGTGTGTGTGTGTGTGTGTGTGTGTGTGTGTGTGTGTGTGTGTGTGTGTGTGTGTGTGTGTGTGTGCGTGCGTGCGTGCGTGCGTGCGTGCGTGCGTGTGTGTGTGTGTGTGTGTGTGTGTGTGTGTTTGGGGAGGGGGGTTATTGTTCAGTGAGGTTGATCCCTAGGAAAACAAAACAGTTTTTTATCAAGAACTATAAAACCATTTAGTTTATGATTACATGCTTTTATTTGGTGTTTAGAGCTCTTAATGTTGGGATAAGTGCAACCCCCCTAACATTTGATTTTAGATTGATTTAGAGCAAAGTCAGGATATCCAGAAGCTCCGTATAATGACAGTGATATTAGAAACAGAGCATCATTATTGTTGAGGCAAATCCTGATGACACAACTCATCTTGGCAGCAGGGAGTGTAATATTATCCAAGCTCATACTACACGATGTTAACATAACCTTTATTGGTCCCACCATGAGAAAAGTTCACCTATCAAGGTCAGAGTGCATTTTAGGTTCATCTTGAAATGGCGCACAAAATCCGACTGTCCCTATAACTTTTTGGGCTGTTTTTTTCTGGAGTACTTTCTGTGTGTCTACCATCAGGTGGATCCTGGTCAGTTCTCCTTGGTATGCGAGTCGAGCTCCTCCACCGCTCCCTGTCGATTAGTGTCTGCTTTTGTTCATCTGTGCCAACACAACTACATACCCCTTGAAATCCCCGCCCAGTGTGGTAAGTTACAACGTGCATGATGAATTCATATTTATTCAAGTTTTTATGTGATGTCAATGTGGTACGGACGGTCTATTTTCCTTTTTTTTATTTTTTATTCCCCTCAGTGCAAGGGTAAAGATGGCCACATTTCGGAGGGGCCAAAATGAGACTTTCATGCCTCATGAGCTGCTGCACCCTTTCTTGACGCTTGTGTGATTTGAAACAGACAGACACGGTCACAATGTGAATATTTTAAAAATAGCAATCTGTTTATTGGCAGAGTTCTTTTTTTTCTTCTTCTTTTGTTGTACAATGAAGATAATCAGTGAGTGACTTCGGTGTAATTCAACTGTAACCTGTTTCGTGTGCATTTATTAAATCCTGCTGCTTTCAGTGCATCTCATCCACATCCTTACTGTTTAATTTGTACCATGAAACGCGGTGATCTCATTTGGACATTTGTCTGCGCGACACACTCCGCGATCCAGATAATGTTGCAGATCTCTTGCTCCTTCAGTTCAATGTAGAAATAAAGCATTTCACTTCTGGTGACATCTTATTTGATATGTGCAGCGAAACAGCTAAATGCAGCTTCACCATGTTTACTTTGAACTTTGCGCACCATGAATTGACCCAAGTCTGCAGATCTCACAGCCCTGCTGGGTTTATATTCAATCAGCATATCTTTCATGTATTCTTGACCCAAACCATTCAGTGATTTATAGACCAGAAGCAACATTTTGAAATCGATTCTTCACCTAATCGGTAGCCAGTGTAAACCCTTTAGGACCGGAGAAATATGTACGGATCACTTTTGTTTTAGTCAGAACCCAAACTGCAGCGTTCAGAATGAGCTGCAGCTATTTGATGCTTGAGGGAGTCCAGTAAAAAAACCGTTACAAGAATCAAGTCTACTGGAGATAAAAGCATGGTCACGTTTCTCCTGGTCTGAGCATGCCACCCTGTGGTCTGGAGCCGTTTTTCAGCGCTGTTAAAAAGCTGTTTTTGTGATTCCTTTTGATATGATTCCTCAAAGTCAGGTCCGAATCTATCAGAACCGCAAGATTTTGGACTTGGTCTTTCATTTCAACTTTGGAAAGGTAACCAACAGACTGAACAAAGTGGGCAGAATATGAGAAACTGAGTTTTGTTCCACCTGTAAAAGCAAAAAAAATGTTTTACCCAAAACACATTAGCACACTAACTGGTCGAAATGGGAACATCTTCGTTTCATGCCCCTCAGAAGAAAACATCTACCGGTAATCTGGTTTGAACAGGTGGCCATGGTTTTATGACCCCTTGTTGAAAGAATCCGTCTTCCAGAGTCTTGTAAACTCCTTCTGGGCATGGGTTGTCAAAAATGATCTTATGATCCTGAAATAATTTATGTCAACACATGAAATCAGAAAGCCAACAGCTTGTAAAAGTGATTCTGCTTAGATTGGAGTCAATTTACTGGATAAATCAGCAACCGCTTTGACTTGTTTGCATTCTTCCGCTTTGGACAGCAATTGCAGGCTTTCAAGATAAAGTTTACCGCAGGATGGATATAGTCTGAACTCCTGTCCGAGCTACTTAGGCCTCTCCCAAAGGAGTTCACAGAAATGATGAAGGCCCGTCTGTCTGCTTCAAACATTTGACAGATATACAGTGCCACTTCACCTTATAAAGTTGGTTTCTCAGTATTTCTGTCCGGTTCCGGAATAATCCGGATAGGAGTGGATCCTCCAAACAACAGACAAGGATAAGGTCTTTGCACAAAACGGTTTATTCACAAAAAACGCAATACTGAGTAAGTAGAACAAATGACGTTGGTGACAAAGAACCACGTCAAAACGACACAAACCAAAAAACACTTGCTAAAGGCAAGGAAAAAGATAAATGTAAATCAATCAATCCACGAAAATACAAACCGAGAAATAACAACTACTACTGACTATGAGGCAAGAAGCTATGAGGCAAAAAGTCAAGAACGTCTAGAATAAACAGGCACTTGGGAGACAAAAGTCGTGAGCAAGGTTGAAATAATCCAACAGCCAGTTGTCGGATGATCTGTGACAGGTGCGGCTCTGGAGGGAACGCTTCTACTCGAAAGCAAAAATATGCCCGGAAACAGGAAGAATAACAAATGAATTTCATTTGGAGTGAATCAGAGGTACTTTAAACGGTGCCAGGTGTTTCTTGACTAAGCAATCAATTTTTGGGACCGGCGTAAAATTTTGCACGGCACTCTGCACGGAGACGGATTACACCATATAATGCTAATTTCATGGACAGGCACAGGCTGGTGGATCTGCGAGTGGGCAGGCTGCATCTCTGCGGGAGTGGTCACTTGATTAATAGGTAATCAAAGCGGCTCCTTTCGTTCCCTTTAAATGTGAGTCTCAACATGTCGGAAGCACATCTGTGTCGTAAAGTGGGCCCTTGGAGGACACCCCACCACCCACGAACGGTTGTGTGCCCCCTCCCCCCTTAATCCTGAACATTTACCAGTTCTAAGAGGTTGTACACACTTGCGCAACCAACTCATCAGTTTATTTCTATTCACCCCATATAAAATATATCCGTTTCAATTGAGTTGTACAGATTATCGTTAACATTAAGGGGGCAGGGGAATATTTTGTACATCACACAAACCAGACATTTGAACCAGGGGGTGTAGAATTTTTCGATCCACTCTGCATCACATTATCAAATTACCGATAATCATTATCCCTACAATGTCAACACAAGATATTTTGATCAAGGAGCTTTGCCTGATAATTTCTCATTCTTCTTGCTGTGCGCCACATGGGAACATGATGTTTACTTGAAGCTCGTGCATGGAATTTTCCTCCTCCCCAAACATGGAGGCTTAATCTTCCAGCAGCGGCAGATGGCGTTGAAGAATCGACAATGGCAGAAGGAGCAGGGGCCGCAGCACGGGTCGCTGGAAGAGCAGCTCCCCCGCGGGGGGCTGCAGCGACGCACGGGCGCCGAGACCTCTGACTTGCATTTCTGAAAAATCGCCCAAAGCGAGCTTTGTAAATGGCCGCAAAGTTCACTTTTGAAACGTGACTCGATTTTAATGATCAGAAAGCTGGAATGATAGTGTGCTGTTTTGTTCGAGAACGCGTGTGAAACAAATTAATGATGCTAGTTCAATTGATGTGTTCTCTTCACATTTTTCTTCACCAAGTCCTTTTAACATTTGGTTGTCAGTATGTTTCAAGACTTATGATTTAAAATTCAATCTGCTGTTGAAAATACAGGCAGAATCTCACAGAAGTTGAGTACACCCCTCACATTTATTTTAATGTCTTTTCAGGGGACGACATGCAAGAACTGCTCAAATTATAAGTGAGTGAGAGAAAAAAAACGTACCAAACTGCGAGTCTCCATTGGCGTTGAGATCTTTTGCCTTGCAAATAGTCTTCTGGTCCAAACTGTGGGAAAAGACAAAAAAATTAAATGCTTATATTTGATATCAGTGCTATTAACCAGAATCCTCCCATCTTTTCAGGAGGGGGAAAAATATTTTTATTTATTAAACATTGTGTAGCACCATGTTGGTTGACCGGTTTGCACATCCGTCTCACAGTGCAGAGGTTGGGGGTTCGAATACAGGCTACGGCCTCCTGGTACTCCGGTTTCCTCCCAGACACCCCCCCCCCCCAAAAAAAAAGCATAATCTGTGCAAACCTATATCTGACGCATTAACATTTCACTGTCAATGACAGCAAGCTATTTTCACCATTGAACAATCAAACATATTTGAAAAAAAAGACCATATTTGGGCATAGGAAGTATCCAGCGCATTTTGGTTTAAGTGAAGACATCTTTAATTTTTTTTTTTTCAACAGACCTCCTATTCACATGATGAAAAAAATAAATCATAAGCATTGCGCTTTTTGTTTGTTGATTTGTTTTGTTTTGTTCTCACCCGGCAACCCCACAATTGTTTTGGTTTCACACATTATCACTTTGTCGATAAGTCAAGTGCGGCATCGCGCATGTTAGAATGATGAAAGCGTTGCATCGAAGCAATAACGTCACAAATATAAAGACAGTAAATTTCTTTGACTACTCGTGAGAACAGTTATATGATCACGACGCCTGAAGGCCTGTTTAACTTTACACGGTGGAAAACAACCAGCAGAAGTATGAAGTCTAATATTTCTCCCTTTATTGTGCGATTCCTCCCACAGACAGACAGACAGACAGACAGACAGACAGACAGACAGACAGACAGACAGACAGACAGATAGATAGATAGATAGATAGATAGATAGATAGATAGATAGATAGATAGATAGATAGTGTGTCATTCTGACCTGCATCAATGTCCCGCTGCCTCAAACTTTTCTTGGCGTCCACCACAAAGCACAGTGGGACGACGAGCAGCAACAAGCAAAGGTAATTCCCGTTCAGACTGATTTTTCTCATGATGGTGAGATTTTATGGATGAAAGGCTCCTTGCCACCACAATAGTTTCCTCAACAGCCAAGACTGGCGGCCCTCTCGCTGTTGCTCACTTGATGAGTAGGTTTCGCTCCTTTGAGGAGATTCAATTTAGCCTTGACTCGACTTCGAGGCTCCACCCACCTGCTCCACAGATTTCAGGGAACGATGCCTGGTGAAGAGCACGAGGTTGCCCTCGGTACCATGAACAATATGAAGAGAAAATGTGGCCAATTTTGTGCTTATTAGGATCAAAATTATTTATAATAATCATCACCGGAAATGTTACCTCTTAGGTTTTGTGTGTGTGTGTGTGTGTGTGTGTGTGTGTGTGTGTGTGTGTGTGTGTGTGTGTGTGTGTGTGTGTGTTATAATTTGCTGGTCATCCTAGTCTCAATTTCGTAATTTTTCATTTATTAAAAGCAACATGCCCCCCCCCATCTAACACGTCTCATCCAAAATGTTACAGAAATTAAAAAGCTGTAAAAAGTAGTCCTACAGTTACCGTAGCAACTTTAGATTTTTTAAGGTTGACAGAGACAAAAAAAAATAGTAATGTTAGGAGGAAATGATACTTCTTCATAGACAGTTGTGTGCAGCTGCACATCTTGATGTGATTTGATTGATTTGTGCTGGTGCAAGTCTTGTTTAGCGTGTTCAGGAATTTGAAAACATATTTTGCGCCATGGTGCGACTTCCGGGATATTGAAGGCGTTTCTTTTGACACGGCCTCGGCACACGTGACACTTTGGTGGCTGTAAGTAGACGAAACATTATACCGACTGTGCCAAGCTGCGTGTGTCTGCGAAAAAAAATACACTTAGTGTAGCTTGCCGCTTGGTAATTAGACCACATTTTTCACGAGACGCGTCATGTCTACTTCCAACTACCGACGTCAGATTGGTGTATAGACGGAGGCCATAACACAAACTCTGAGCTCCGGCAGTGGTGGTGGATGTCATCGTCTTTCATTCATAAATATGACAACGAGTCTTGTGTCTCTGCAGTTGGGAAAGAGCATCTGGAGTTACTTTGCTGGCTGCGTGACAACAATTCCGATTGAATTTTCCCGATTTCAATAGTGGTGATAAAAATCAGGTGCTTCCAACAAGACAAGACACGGGAAAGTACAATCCAATACAATGATGAAAGCAACAGCTTTGTGGTTGATTTTCTCGCTGTCTTTCCCACTCTAAAAAAACCTGTCATTCTTTCCAAACGTGAAGCCAAACACACGACACAAGATCAAAAACAAAGATTAATCAATCGTCTGAGAAATGCCATGGTTTTTTTTCATGATCTGAAACATCTGTACTGTTGCCCACAGCTCTTCTTTGGGGCTGTTTGTAATACGTCCCAATAAACTGCACATCCACAATTTATTAAACCGGGGACAGATGTTCCAAGGTTATGTATTGAGATTATTTCAAGACAGTTAAGACATGCAGATCATTTCTTGCACTAAACTGAAAGAAAGGGGATAGCTATACAAAAGGACGCTCTATGAACTCCTAATCATTGTTTATATTGACTTCAAATTTGTTCATTTTAGCTGGGTCAGTATCACATTAAAGTGCATTTCGTAAGAACGCCATCTGTCATGATTCAGTTTTTTAAATTAGATTTGACTTCGTTTCATAGTTTACTGGCATGGCTCTGTTCCGTTTGTGACCAACAGGTGGCGTTGGAGGGCTGCTCGTCCAGCGTCGCACCTGTTTGTCGTCATGTCATTAGCTCCTTTTGTTTTAAAAGGACTGCGACTCGGATCGTTGTTTGACTGTCATGGGGTTTTTATGTTGTAGTTTATTGGGATTTTCAGAACTTTGTGCTTCTGTCGTGGGTTTTTGTTTATTACTTTGGTTTCTTCAAAAAATATCATCCAAAGGGCTCTCTGGAACCAAAAAGTTCGATCAGGAACCCCTGTGAAAGAATGAATCCTTAATTGCAGTGGAGTGGAGGCTTCTGGCGCCCCTTAGCGGACATCGATGGGAAGTTGAGGTGAAAGAAAAATGAAAGCTATTCAGATTAGAAAACCCGTGGGGCAATAAAAGAAGCAGAGAGCAACAACGTAGTGTGTGGAAACACGTGTTTGATAGCTTTATGATGATTTTTGAGATTCTGTGAGAAGGGAAACGCAATCGTGTTTCTTCATCAAAAAGTTGATGTAGTCCGTCCTCTCATTCAGCGTCTCCCTCAAATGTTCAACTTCTCTCTGTTTTTCCATCAGTTCCCTCTGTAGGTAATGGTTCGTTTCCTCCAGAGCGGCACAGAAAGCCTGCAAAACATGAAACCATTTTAATGATGTAGTATTTACGATACCGAGCCTAATACCGGCGATGGAACTTTGTAACTTTGACAAGAATGAAGGAAAGATAACCGACTCTGCTTTCTTCCAGACTGTCGAATGGGCCCGGTGATTCACTCACACAGAGAAACTGTCTGACTGAAACGCTGGCAACACAAAAATCAAGAGTGAGTTTATCGTGTATTTCCAATGTATTCCAAGTCCTCTTTTTTTTTTTTAACCATTAAATGTCTAACACAAAACTAAGACAGCACAGATATATCTTGAGTTTGAATATTGAAGACATTATAATACAATAACATTTAAGACAATGTTTTTTTTACATTGAAATGTTTAACGGTCCAACCATTCCGTGTTCGAAATTCACGTTCAAACTCAGATGGCTGCGATGTTCACGTCGCGTGGATTTGCTGTTCGAAATGAAAACATGAAATCTAATGGCTCCTCAATATCCAACACTGAATTTCGATTTCTAACTTATTTTTTTTACCGTAAAATTTTCTGTCAAAAATTCAACATATCTAATTCAAACTCAAGATGGCGCCAAAATGCCCGATGATGTCGCTATGCCAATTTAAGTCTGAATTAGTCACACACATTATTTTTTTTTTACCTGAATATGGCACTGAACGTTTAGATTTTCGTTTTTTTTAATTGTTTAAAATTCAACCTTATATGGCACAGATACACAGTCATCCCGTTTTCTCTCGCCACACAATACCTGTTGCTGATGTCATTGTGGCAAGTCAGATTCTGCAAAAAGGTTTGCAAGCCAGTCCGCCTCTCATCCAGAAACTCCCCGTCGTAGTTGTCTTTGAACCAACGTTTTGGAGGCAAAACTAAGCGGACGCTCGGAAACAAAGCCTTGAGCTTCGAAAATCAACATACAAAAGGAATAATATGACATTGTCCACTTGTGCGCACTCTTCACAAATCATTTGTTTTCTTAAATCGTACTGCATTGGCTTGGATTTTAGAATACTCCTACGTGAGACTGGTCATCACCTTGTCTCGGAGTCTGCGGAAATCTCCGTATCGTCTAAAGATTATCCAGCTGCCCCCCTGACTCCCGATCACCAGGATCTTGTAAACCTGTGGCGCAAAGGCCATTGCCCCGTACTGTGTGTCAAGTTATGTAAGCATTTCAAGATGCCAGGAGCCATCATCCTTTGCTTATGTTACGTTAGCTAGATACGATTTTTGCCAGATAACTACATTATCATTGTAAATAACAATTTATCTGTTACCGTGAACTTTTCCCTCCCCTTGAGGATTTCGTGATCCTGCAGTGTCACGGTGAACGGTCTCTCCACCCAATCGTCGCCGAGGATCCCTTCCGTCTCCGGCCCGTAAAAAACATTTCTTCTTCCCTCGGATTCATCCCCCATTTGTGGAGATGAGAGCCAACAGTTTGTAAAATGGACAGGGGAAAACTGCTCTGGTGAGATGTGACGTGAAGTAATGGTGCCACGTCAGCTTGTCACACTGAGTCTTGCTCGTTGGAACACCAATAACAACACAAGTGGATGTTTCAGAATTTACAGTATGCGGGCAAGGCAGCAATAAAGTGGTCAATGATTTGTCAACAGTCTGGTCGTCATTGTGTTTAAGTTTTACAATTGGTGTGTCGTCTCTCTTCACCTTGCAAGGAATAGATGAAAAAATGTAATGTTTCAATACAATCAATTTATTTGCAGATTGGTATCATCAAACACTGTGAAAACCAACTGCTTAGGAGTACAGCATGCAGTTCCAAGATCAAGGCAAAATGCAGTGATGAGTACAACTACGCAAAGCCTTTGGAGCATTTATTGCAGGGAAGCGCAATGGTTGGCCCGTGCCCATAGTCAGTTTCCCCGCAGAAAGACTTGAAGTCATCAAGGTGGTTAAAAAGCGCTAAAAGTACGCAGAAATGTCATATAATGCCGTTACTTGTAGGACAAAGTCATTTTCTCCTTCGTCCTCACTAGTAGGACAACTTTGGCATGTTAATAAGACAAATGAGGCAAAACTGCACAAACTGCATTCTGTGAGATCAACTGCATGGTTTCATAACATTATCCTAGATCATCTCCACCAGTAGCGTAGTAGTGCAGAGATATCAACGACTGCACAGTTTTGCCTCATTTGTAACATTTAGTGTTCATATTAGTATGGATGTCAAAGCATGATGAAAACGCCATTGCTGAAATATAAATGTGTCCACTAGAGAACGCCTCCGCTCATCGTGTGACTGACAGCAGGGCTTCAAACCGGATTTCAAGAGGGAGGTTCCAACCCTGCGTCCATAAAAACTGTGAAGAGCGTCTATGGGAGGAGGATTTGACTTGGCTCCGCATGCAGGATGTTGGGTGCTGCAACTTTTAAAGCTACATCTTGTCGAAGAGAAGAGGACATCACCACTCTCCAGTGAATGAGCGTCCCCAGAGTCTTTCCCACACTCATTCCTCCTCCAGGTAACGCGCTCGAGTTGGATGTTCAACAGTTTAAGTTTCCATATGAATGTCACAAAAGGCCTTTTCATTGTTTAATTTTTTTAACGTCCAACCATTTACACTTATTATGTTGCTTATACTTAAATAGCCCTTGTAAACATGAATAGCATATTTATATATGCATAGCTCAAAAAATAATAACAGAGGCTAGATTAAAACCCAAGTTAGAATTTTTCGGAGACATGCCTTTCAAGCTAAGGTTATTTTGCACGTTAAATATTTTCTCCTGAGTTTACGTAAGCCCCCAAAAGTCGGAACGGGCTCTATCACTAACCTACTGTATGCGAACAAAGTAGAAAAGTCATAACACTTGTAGCACATAAATATGAAACAATCCAATCCGATCCGGCTGTAACTGCGCCTGCCTTCTTGTGTGGAACTCGTTCAATATAGCGTCTTAAAATAAGCACCACCTGCACCTTTTTACGACCTGTCTGCAACCGACTCATAATGGTTTCCATCTCACTTGTTGAGAATCACGGCTCTAAAGGATTTATATCCTGGTGATGATGAAAGGTTCAATATTTGTCTTGGTCAACTCCCTTTCATGCAAATTACCCCAACAAAGATTTTAACCAACTCAACTCATTTCACAACAAGCAGAGGTTTGGCAGATAGTGATAAATTCTCCCCTCCCAAAAAGAGGTTTCAAGTGGCTAAAGGACACTTCCAGTTGAAGTTGACTGTCCAAGTAAACACAAAACAAAAAAATATGTTTACTGTATTTAAAACAACCACATAACTTTGCCTCAAAGTCTGCTCAGGTAATGCTAACACATAATGGGAAATGCCATAGACCAGCTCATGAGTAGCATCGGCGTGGTGGTGTTACGCTTTCATCAATTAATATGTGAACACAAATGCTGCAGCAACTCACATAGACAGACAATATAACAATACTCACTGGCATATCATAATATTACTATTTATAGTGTCACAGAAAATAGTCGTGAAAGCCCTCTTCGTTTATCTTCATGACTATCCCTCTTATGCTGACCCCTGGTGGCCAAATCTCACACAAGAAGGAGCCAACGAATTAATCATGAGGCACAAATTGTGAAATATCTTTACACTCTATTGGATTATGTTAAGTGCTATTTTCCATGATTTAAAAAAAAAGTACAAACATTTTTTTGGGGGTCGGAGGGGGGAGGCTGAAACTGATTACTTGCATTTCCATTGATGTCGCTTTGGAAAGAAGCTTTGAAATCTGTTCTGATAGTACAGCACAGTCGCAGAACCACAGTGTTCTTCCTTCTAACGTTTTAACATGAACAGGGAAAGTTTGATTCAACTCCTTTCCAGATCCCAACTGCAATTTAAAGCACTGTTTACATTTGTGAACTCGTCATGAGTTAATGTGCGACAAGCTCACTGGAAAGTTGAAATATTCTGTGGAGTCTTCCATCCGGCTACATGTTAGCATGTGCCGACGGAGCCCGTGTGCGCTGCTTCACAGTCACAGTGAGCAGTTTTTTCAATGTATGGAAAGAGATAAGATAAGAAAACCTTTATTAGTCTTGCAATGGAGAAATTCCCAATTCACAGCAGCAAATGGAGTGAAGGCAGTGTTTGTTTGGAGGTGCTATACATAAAGATAAACATAAGGTACACACGGGGGATTGTGTGCCCCTCAACAGATCTGCTCCACAAAGAGGTCAGTGTGCATACGAGCCATACCTCTTATTCTGTCAAAATGCTACTTTAGCCTTTGAAGTCTTTATTGATTTATTCATTCATTCATTTGCTCTTACCAGCAGGGTAGCTCTCGCACCAGACGAATCTGCGTCATGTTACACCAAAATCCAACGTTGAAACAGGTTTATGCCATGAAAGACAACAGGAAAATCGACCTGGTTCTTTCAACCATCGCCACAAGTCGAGTTTTACCTGTTTCACAGCATGGAGATAATCGGACCGCGGTTGACGATAGCCTGTTGCACGTTAAAAACAAATTCTATTTTATGTAAGCAATGTTTTGAGCATTTCATTGACAACACAAGCGGGGATGCCCCCCCCCCCCCAAGCTGAGGGTTTTGTTTTTTTTTTTTGTTTTTTACTTTTCCCAAAATATCTTCCAGAATCTCCCAAGGGAGAGTCTCCCGTCATGATGTCCTCCACGCATTCTAGGAGGATGAAGTATATGTTTCTGGGGGTTCTCGTGTTGCAGACCACCTCACTGGTGCTCATCATGCGCTACTCCCGCACTCTGACGGGAGATGGCTCCCGCTACCTCACCTCGTCCGCCGTCGTGTCCGCTGAGGTCATCAAGATCATCATTTGCACCCTTCTGGTCTTGATGGAAAAGAGTGAGTACATTCGTCTCTCGTCATGTCGCGATTCACTTTGTATATATATATAATTTTATATTGTGGATGTGGGACCAAAAAATTGTTGACATCTACGTTAGTACCTGACTGTGTCTTCGCTCCGCGGTGAGCTGACAAGACTGTCTCTGTATCGGGTAGATTTCAGTGTGCGGGCCATGAACCAGCTCTTGACGGAGGAGATTTTGAGTAAGCCTCTGGAGACCATGAAGCTGGCCATCCCTGCAGGGATCTACACACTGCAGAACAATCTACTCTATGTTGCTTTATCCAACCTGGACGCAACCACCTATCAGGTTACCCACGTGCCACTTCACTGCAACAGTGAACGTTTTTGTGAGCTGCATATGTGTGAAAATGTGTCCTCTGTTTAAGTACGGAGTGCTGAGCCCAAATGTCTGCACACTAAATGACAAAGGACAATTTGGTGGCTTGTGAATGAAGTACAGTACAAAAAATAAAAATAAACAAATAACCACGAACCATTATAAAATGAACCTTCAGTCATTGCTTTCTGTAGGAATAAAAAGCAGGATTGAAGGGGATTGCCATTCAATAGTCTTATCTACTTTGAAATTTGAACTTTATAGAGGTGAAAACATAAACAGGTTATGTTGAAATGAGGTATGACTGTATATATCTCTATAAAAACAACCGGTTTAAAGAGTAAATACAAATGTATTGAAGAGAAGTTAAATACAACTGAACTGCACTTGGGCAGTTCAGTTGTATTTAATCAGCAATTTTTTGCTTCACACTTGAGCGCCCGTGTACTACGAGTGGCACTCATAACAATGTTTGAGAATCACGGCCGCATACCGTACAGTAGTTTCTGAAATGGTTCATGCTTAGCATAGAACGCATGCTGACCAAACTCAGTCCAAAGATAAAGCAAAGCTTGTCCAAATCACGACTAACGAGATGATCCAAGATAGCGTAACAAGTGTGAATTGTCTTTCATGTAGGTCACGTACCAGTTGAAGATTTTGACCACAGCGCTGTTCTCCGTCTCCATGTTGGGCAAGAGGCTGGTTTCCAATCAATGGCTGTCCCTTCTCCTCCTCTTGGCTGGTGTTACTTTAGTGCAGGTTGTCAGAAAAACTGTAGAAACACTCAGGCGTAGCTTTTAAATATTCTCTCCTCACTGTAGTCACAAATTAATCCGATTTTTTTTTTTTTTTCCTGAAACCCCTGCAGTGGCCCACGGCATCTGTCGGCGATTCCGAAGAAAAAGTTCTCTCCGCCAGCTTCCAGTTTGTAGGTCTGATGGCTGTGCTGACGGCATGCATTTTCAGTGGCTTTGCTGGAGTTTACTTTGAGAAAATTCTCAAGGAGGCGAAACAGAGTTTGTGGGTTCGTAACGTACAACTGGGTGAGCACATGATTCCTTTGTCAGCGGCTTTTTAATGATGAAGAATAGACAGTTTTGTGTGTACTGTATTGTTTTTATGGATGTGAAGTACAAACATCAGCAGATGAAGTCATTGTGTTTCTTGACTGTGCGACTGCTCTATATGACTTCGACAAGTTTAATTTAAAGGCTACAGCCAGTATTGACTATAAAATATATGGAAGTGTTTCTTTGTTTTTAAACTGAGGTGATCTCACGTAATCAAAGTGGGATAGAAACATCCACATGATCAATTGTTTCCTGCAGGTTTGTTCGGGTTTGTGTTCAGTACACTCGGAATGATGGTGTATGACGGCGAGCGAGTGGCACAGTCTGGAATGTTTCAAGGCTACAACAAGATCACTTGCACAGTGGTTGTCTTGCAGGTAGGAGAGTTCACTTTTTCCTTTTCTTCCTTTTGCTTTGGTACTTCTATTTGATAAAGTATGCCCTGCTTTACAAAGTATTTGTTGAATAATAATGAATTTCCCCAGTGTGGGACAAATAAAGGATATCTTAATCTTAATCTTAGCTCTCTCTCTCTCTCTCTCTCTCTCTCTCTCTCTCTCTCTTTCTCTCTCTCTCTCTCTCTCTCTCTCTCTCCCCCTCTGTCTGTCTATCTAGCTCGCTAACTAGCGAGCTAGCTAGTTAGCTAGCTGTCTATTCAGCTAGCTAGCTAGCTATCTGATTGTCAGGGAATTCACCCGAATATTTTGAACTTTGAATGAAAAGACTCGACTCAACTCAGGAACAGATTGTCTTTTGCTGATCAGCAAAGGGGTGAAGTTCCTCGAAGGCAGCACAAGTCGTGTTGCCTCTCAGATCGAAAACCCCACCTTCGCACCCCCGCTGACCACTGTTTATTCACAGGATATGCAAAATACAAGTAACATATCAGAAAAACATTCCTCCTTATTGGCATGTCGCGCTTCCCAGCCCAGCCCACCGATATGCCCCTCAGTGGACACCTGGAGGCCAAAACATCTTCCAGTGCAAACAATGGATACCTTGTAAATACAATGGCTAGATTTCGCATGAATTGAGACACTGTAACAAACTGAAGGACATCTGGTCATGCTGCTCTCCCGGAGTTGAACCTTCCTGTCTATTTATCAGTTAATGGGGCCTTGGCTTCATTCAGCTCAAGTTGGCCCTTTTTTCTGTGTGCTCCATTGTGTCCAAGTTGTGAGAACATAGCGTTCGAGGTCAATCAAGCATATACTGAAATGAAACTTTGAAACATGATAATATTAAGTTTGTCTTTCTCCATGACTGATGCATTAACATTTCACTGCCAATGACAGCAAACCATTTTCTACACATTAAATAATAACAGACTCACGTGGGGACTGCCCGATTTATAAACATTTGTGAAAAACAAATATGAAATTGACCATATTTGGGCATAGGAACATTCTGACCAATCCCCTCGCATTTTGGTTTAAGTGAAGACATCTTCCATTTATTTATTCATTCATTCATTATTTACAACAGACCTCCTATTCACATGATGAAAAAAATGAATAATAAGCATTGCTATCTCTATCTGTCTATCTAAACCCTCAATAAGGGTCCCCTGAGTGTAACATGGTACTTCACTGCTCATTTGCATAGTTTGCTGTTCAGAAGTGTGTGTGTGTGTGTGTGTGTGTGTGTGTGTGTGAGTGTGTGTGTGTGTGTGTGTGTGTGTGTGTGTGTTCCTCCCACAAGTTGCTTTGAAACACTGTTTTGTGTGCCCGCAGGCTTTGGGAGGCTTGGTGGTAGCTTTGGTCATGAAATATGCCGACAACATTCTGAAAGGGTTCGCCACCTCTCTGTCCATCATCGTGTCCATGCTGATCTCATATTTTCTGTTGGGAGACTTCAACCCGACCGGGTAATTACATGCATGCTAATGACACAAGCCTTTGAGTGATTTGAATTGCAAATGACTGTTGAGGATGTTGCCCAGTTCCGACTGTATACATGTGTTTGTAACACATTTGTCACTCTTTTCTCTTCCCTCTGTTATCTCCTGCTGCTTGTCAGGATGTTTTTCTCAGGGGCAGCATTGGTTATTGCAGCCACATTTTTGTACGGCTATGAGCACAAACCTGCCAGCGGCAGCGCTGAAAAAGTATAAAGGAGAGAAGACCCACTGCCAGCAAAACGCAAACGGAGCAGGACTCTGTGGATTGCGATGAAGTGAAAAAAGAAAAAAACTGTTACTGACAATCTGCAATGACTCTGAACAGATATGCCCCTGCATCACTGCAACTTTGCCCAAAGAATGAAAAAAAAAAACAGTTGTTGCACATCCATACACACATTGTGAAATCAAGACAACGCTATAATGAAGTAATGTGGTAGCCTATAGAGACAACAGGACTTGCCTGGATATTTCAATTTTATCACAGAATCTCGAAAAATCTTGACTAAGCTTCATTCCAGTGGAGGAATGACAAAGAAAAATACTTGTGAAAGATCCAGGTGAAAAAAAGAGTTTTGAGACAAAAGCTATCACATATTGCGGTGTTACTAATTTCCAAATGAATGTTCTTGTGTTGGAACAAATGATTTCAAGAGCTCGTAAAGTGAATTCAGATATTTATTTCTCCACTGTAAAGAACTGCCGGCATTTTTTTTTTTTGCATGGCTATCCATCCATCCATTTTCTGAAAAAAAAAAGGGCCTCTTACCTGGATGCCACAATCTAGAGACCAGCTTGATGTGTTTAATTAAATTATAAGAGTGTGTTTGCGCCATTGTCTACTGTTGTGGGATGAAACCGAGCCAACTCCCGGACAATCGTAGTGGCATCCCTCATTTGCATTAAAATCCGGGCAGTCAGCGTGCATGCCGTTCTTGAGGGCTTGACATTGCGGAAGCAGAAATAGACTTGGGGTGGTCCGTGCATGTCATCTGGGCGTGCAAAGTGCGTTAATACAGGTGAGCTGCAAGATCTTCCCTTGCGGATGATGTCGTCGGTCACACAATTGAACACCGCCTTTCACTCATGACTGTGTGTCCTTGTGCTTCGACTTGGTGGACTATATAGGCATAAGGAAAACGCTCGATGCACGAACGTATTTGATCTGAGAGTTGAGAGAGTGGCTTGATTTTGCACGATTCTGAAGGCTCGTTCCATTTACTTACTGCATTTATTTATTTTTTTTTATTGATTAAAATGTTACAGGCTTGCTGACAACACTCTTCACTGTGTGGTGTGTCAAATGAATATGACATTTTTTTTATTTTCACTTCACAGGGACTTACTGAGCTTTGCCCTGATACTTCAGAGGTGGGGCCTATTCTCTCTCTTACACACACACACACATACATACATACATATCATTGAATATTTTGAGAATTGTTCTGTAGTTCCAGTGCACTCTGAAAAACCCAAAGCGGTCTCTATAGCAACAGACAAATGTTGCAGTCGCGGTGTAGCAACACGATCCACGATGAATCAATAAAGCCTGCCATAGCATCCTTTGAATATTTACATGATTGTAATGGCCATTTTATTCAGCAAATGCCCTTACAAATAACTGAAGATGATAACAGAAGTGAAACTGATATTTTGTCAGATTTGGTGTTTGTTTTTTTATACACTCAGACAACCTTTGCATAGTTGTGGCCTTCAGAGCAAATGAGCAGGTTGGAATGGAGGTAGTGTGTGCTTGTGTGTGTTGAGGTGGACATACAAGCGTGTAAGGAGGCAGATGGGAGGATGAGACATGAACCTGGAGAGAAGCACAGATGGAGGAATCGGCCATGTGGCTTGTTTGTGGAGTGGCGGGCAGAGACGTGGACGGAGCGCAGCGCGAACCGGACCGGAACGGTGACACGGGAAGAGGCTCTCGTTGGCAATTATCCACACAAAAACCACTGCTACACAGCGACTGTGCCATATGTGAACAATGATTTTATCATTGTCAGAATATGTTCTGCTTTTTTCAGGAATTCCACTCTGAAATAAGAGGAGGAGAGTCAGATTCCCTGATTGTCTGGAAATACATTAGATGTACCTTGCACGTAGCGCTGCAAGATGAGCTGGCCTGATTAGGCCCACATTCCCTCGACTATTTCAGTCATTTAGTCTCATTTCACATGTAACAAATATGACGTGCAATGACACTTTTGTTTTAAATTTGCCATCTGACACCGTTCCGTGTCATTCCCAGCGCTCCCGTTCGAAGCATCGTGAATAAAATCCTCAATAGGGTCGCCGATGCGGTTACAATTGGACACAAAATGTTTCCCCGATGAAGTCATTGTGCTATAAACTCCAGCAGATGTCTTTTTGTTTGTCCGTTTCACACCGACTTGTTGCAATAATAGTCACGATCTTAACTCAAAAGATTCATATAATACTTAGGTGTCCTAAATCATCTGAATACATTCTTGAACTCTGGTGATGAGTGTGCTGATGAAGGCCTTCGATGGCACTAAAGAGGTATCATCAGCCTGCGGTTTGCTTTTGGCCGATGTGACGTCTCGATCACAAAGGCTTTCGGAAATACAAAACAATTGCGAGCCTTACGGCTTTTCAATGACAGTTTTGCTCACTCTCATCGCATGCAATAAAGATCTACATGAGGATGCGGGACGCAGTTCTCGTCAGTGGGGGGGGTCAAATTCCTCTACCGGTGCATCTAAAAAGAGTTCACTTGTAAAAACGCTGGCAAAGATTTCTAATTGCAGCTCTTGGCCAAACAACACTTGACGCAACACCAGATCTCCGTCGACGCTGACGCTTCACGCAACAGTTCCTTTGTTGGCTCGATCACCCTCATCTTCTGTTTTGGCATGAAGTAACAATGACTTTAATTTTTCTTTTTTTTTTGGAAGTCTCTCATTTTGGCGGTATGACGACGAGTGGTGTTCCTCGCCGCGGTCTCCACATTAGCACTTGGGCATCATTGGCGTTCGGCCTCCCCAGGGCGTTGGGAGGGATGGGCTCCTGATAGTTGAGGATGTGTGGCTGCTCCTGATATGGCCGACCTACCAGGGTGGCCCGGGAGCCCAGCGGCATGTCGGGGTCGACAGCAATGTCTACCCGCATGCGCCACCGGACCGTCTGCAGTACAATCCGTTCCTGAAAGAGGAGAGGGCGGAAACAACGAGATGCGTCATGCGGGGGACCACCGTTAGCTTTGTTGAAGCCTTCGCTGACAGTGGAGTCGGGGTATTGACGTTCAGGCTTCTGCTAGAAAGCAAAAAACTGCCAATAAAAAAAGCCAACTTGAACATGGTGAACTTATTTGGGGTAAATTAAGCTAAGCTTATCACATGACTTTGAATTTGTTTGGTTAATTCTAACTACAAACACATGGCAGTTATAAGAGGGTGTGCACAATTGTGCAACATTATCTCAGTTCTTTATTTTTATGACACTTCTCAAAAGTTTTTTTTTTTTAAATAAATAACAAGGCTATGATTCAAATCAGTCTCCGTTAAACTCGTAATATTCAGTCTCGACATAAAATGATGAGAAGGCTTGCTCTGAATGCGGTGTGGTCAAATCGGCACCTTGACTAGCTCGACTAGTCGACTAATCAGTTCAACCCCCGATTGTCTACATCACAGGTATCAAACTCAAGGCCCAGGGTGCCGGATCTGGCCGGCCATATCATTTTCTGTGGCCCGCGAAAGCAAATCAAAGATGTCAGCTTTCATGATGCTTGCTAAAATCTGTACCAAAATTGAAAATGATCATTTGTAATAAAGATGAGTGAGACTGTAAGCATTTTCTTGTTACCAAACCCCTCATTATAGTAACTTAAACAAAAGGTGAATAAACTGTTATTCTTGACTTCTTCATATGGTTTCAGTCGTAACGGCCCTACAAGGGAAACTAACTAAAATCTGTCCCGCGACAAAAATGAGTTTGACACCCGTGCTATAACCCATCCGTGATCCGATTCAGATTTATAACGAATAATGAAACAATGAAATTCATTTTCTGTGACTGTATGGGCTGCCAAGCACTTGTCTGTCTCCTGCGCCAAATCCACCTTTGAGACGACACAATGGCAGTTTAACCAACAATATGTCCTACATGGGGGTCAATGTATGCCGAGTAATGTAACACATAACCTGTTTTTGCATATTGGCCCGACCTGCTGTTCCTGTCTAGACCAGTCGCCAAACGTGACATCTCGGGGTATTGACGTTCAGGCTTCTGCTAGAAAGCAAAAACTGCCAATAAAAAAAGCCAACTTGAACATGTGGAGCTTATTTGGGGTAAATTAAGCTAAGCTTATAACATGACTTTGTCAAACACATGGCAGTTATAAGAGGGTGTGCACAGTTGTGCAACATTATCGCAGCTCTTTATTTTTACTACTATTATTTTTTTTTTAAATAAATAAGGCTATGATTCAAATCAGTCTCCGTTATACTCGTAATATTCAGTCTCAACATTAAATGATGAGAAGGCTTGCTCTGAATGCGGTGTGGTCAAATCGGCACCTTGACTAGCTCGACTAGTCGACTAATCAGTTCAACCCCCGATTGTCTACATCACAGGTATCAAACTCAAGGCCCAGGGTGCCGGATCTGGCCGGCCATATCATTTTCTGTGGCCCGCGAAAGCAAATCAAAGATGTCAGCTTTCATGATGCTTGCTAAAATCTGTACCAAAATTGAAAATGATCATTTGTAATAAAGATGAGTGATACTGGAAGCATTTTCTTGTTACCAAACCCCTCATTATAGTAACTTAAACAACAGGTGAATAAACCGTTATTTTTGACTTTTTGATAAGGTTTCAGTTATAATGGCTAGTGCTAGAGAAAATAGATGGTTGGATGGATGCAGTTTAAGACGGGCCGGTTTCCTACTCGTTTGTCGCACCTTGGTGATGGAGTTCATGGCCACCAGCCAGGTGATGAAGCTCTGATCCCTGGTGATGTGGGTGAGCATGGGCGTGTTACTGTTGCTGATGGGAACGGCCCAAGTCACGCTCGGGTAGAAGTTGTCGTTCATGCTGACAGTCAGGCGGGACGGTTTGGAGGTGGGACCGGTGAGGGTGACCGTCTCGGTGGTGTTGCCGTACCACGGGTAGCTGACTCCATCCGAGTCGCTGATAGCCTTCACCCTACCCTCCCGCAGCTCCGGTAGTTCCCAGCTGGACCTTGTGGCAGGAAAAAGAGGAAAAGACACAAATTGGGTGACGTGCATATCAAAACAAAACCTCCTTGCGATACGATAATCGGTAATCAGGACCGAGCCCTTCAGTGGTCAGAAAATTGTGAGTAATTGACGGTGATCCCAATACACTTTTTGATTTGGATTTCAAACTGATTTTATAAGATTACCCTTAAAAATAAATGACTTGCAGATAATCAGATTTGTTAAAAAACGAAATGGAAGTGCACAGGTACACGCGCAGGTGGGGAAGACTCCCCGAATCTTTTATGACCAACGCTGGCTAAACAGAGGTCCTTCCCGACATACAGAGCTTGCATCTCAATGAAAATGTATCACTTCAATGTACATAACACCATTTACAGTGGTAACTTGACATACGAGCTGAATTTGTTCTGTGACCAAGATCGTTCCTTAATTATTTACTCGTACAGCGAATCAATTTTCCCCATTGAATTGACTTGTAATACCATTAATTCATTCCAGCCTCTTTCAAAACAACAACCGCATTGGTAATGTTTTTGTTAAAAATAGCACTCTATAATATTAGAATTTATAAAAACATACAGCAAATGACATCATTAGATCCGCTGCCGTGAAAGCGCTATTTAAATAGAGATGTCATGTATGTTTTGTATAATTAAAAACCAAAACCACGTTTTGGCACACTTTTTCCTTCAGTTGTGCTGCTCATTCTGCCACCTAGGGACAGTTCAAGTCAGACGCGCTGTACTGGGGGAATTGTGAATGACGAGTAGAGATTACTGGATACTCACATGCCAATATCAGCATATGTGTTGTAGAACTCCATTTGGGTGCAAGCTTGGATCCAGCCCACCACCCAAGTTTCATTCCGGGGCACTGGTGGCATCACAACTCCCGCCGAGGCCCTGAAGTACGGCGTCTTGTAGCGAAGTACGATGGGCGAATTCTCCTCGATGATGGTGGGGCATTGGTCGATTGAGGCTGACACCTCATACACCACGATATTCTCCCGTCTGATGCGGGGCTTGCACGCGATGCTTTGAATACATCCCATCGTGCAGGTGACCAGCAGAGCGAGCAATAAACAAGGGAGCAAATGACACCTGACCAGCATGCACATCAGTCCCATGCAGGTTACACCCTTGTCTGTAGAACCAGTCACCATTCATTAAATGTAAAAGCGGCGTGCATGGGCAAATACTGGGGGTGACGTGGAGGTGAGAGTGCAGTAGGGACTGGGGAGGAAGTATCACAGATCTCTGCAGCCTCCTCCCCCTGGTGAGCCTCCTGACTGCCGCACTGCCCTTGGCGCTCGTCCCCACAAACTGCAATCCGGCCTCCCCGAGGTTGTTGATGATGATGCTGATGCAGATTCTCCGCCGTGCGTCCGGAGACTCCTTTCTTCGGAGGCTCCTCGATCCTGCTGCTGCTGCTGCTGCTGCTGCTCGGCTCCCGGCTCCGCGCTGCTGTCATGTCAACCGGACTGACAGGTGCGTCAAAAGGAAACAGGGTGTGGGGGGTGGGGGGTCGGATTCCTTTTGTTTGCCTACATTTACACGGTGCCCAGAAAAGATAAAACCCTGCGTCTGCAATACGAAACGAGAAGAAAGCAGCGTCAAAAGAAGGCCGGCGAAGCGGCTTGTGAAGGATAGGCTGCCGCTATTTTAAAGCCCCGCTATCTGTGCTGTGCTTCCATTCTTATAAATCATGAAGGGTGCATCATGAACGGAGGCGAGATAAATGTGGAAAAAACAAACGCCGTCTCTCGATGCTAATTCGGGAGAGCATCCTTTTCCTTCTCGGTGCGGATTTTTGGTTTTGGAGGTGCTGATGCTGAAAAGCCAGGGGAGTGGCGTCACCCGACCTCTTCCTTGTGGGGGCGGGGGGATGTGTATTACGTCACAAGAACCTGAAGCTCTCATTGGACGCCGAGCCTACACGCGGAAGTGGTGACCTCGGGCTCCTTTTCTCTTTCTGTCTGACACACACTCAACCGACGGCTATCCGGGCTTCTGTGTCCTCCCTTCCCCGAGACGTGCTGGTCGACGCTTTAGGAGCCAGCGTGGCTGGTTTATGATCGGCCGTTTGGTGAATAACGTCGCGCAGAGGGTGCCGAGCCTGGTGTACCGGGTATATGCAATGAAGAAGCCGCAGGTTGTGTTCGTGCTGGGCGGGCCTGGGGCCGGCAAAGGGACCCAATGCGCCAAAATCGTCGAGGTAAGCTACAAGAGATGGCGAGACTGATTCAAACCCCTTTATATGACGTCTTATCATGGACAGTAACTTAAAAAAACACGAGGAAGGAATACAGTAGTTATTATCGCCGCTTCTCCGACTTCCGGTCGTCCTCTAAAATAAATCTGTGTTAGCTAGCTAGTTAGCTAGTTATGCGAGGTGGCAAAAGTACTCGGACACTGTACTTCGGTTGTGAGATACTTGTGAGAATGTGAGAATAACCAAATATTTATGAATAGCTGAGCCTTAACGCTGCGCTCAAACTTGGTAAAATCACACACGTTGAATTAGTATCCAAACAGTATTTGGTTTAAAAAAAATGGAAGTAGGTAACATATTTGTAACCTTATCAGTAACTTCTGATAGCAGATGTTGTGTCAGGGTCACTGTGTTTGTCTGGGCTGCACTTGTCCATGTAACCTTTAAAGCAACCCACACAGAGATGACTTCCATCCATTCATTTCTGAGACCACTTGTCCTCTCTAGGCTCGCGGTTGAGCTGGAACCTATCGCATCTGAATTTGGGCCAAAAACTGTCTCCACCAGAGGTGCCCATTAAGTATATCTTTAGCTACCAGTAGCTTGCCAAAGAAGTGCAGGTATAGCTCTTACTGTATCAACTTAATCTCTACCAGCCCTTCCGGTTTTATGCTCTTGACGTGGCTGACTGTCAACGCCAATGGAGGAAAAAAAAAAAAAAACTACAGAAAAAAAGTATATCACTGTGTATACAGTGATATATAGATTCATGCAGTTATGCAAGGTACACCAATATATATTGTACATAAAGAATTCTAACTGTATTTGAAATAAATAAATAAAGCAGGTAGATCAGTTGGACTTGGTCATTTTATAAGTAGCTGGCATGCTAAAAAATGTCAATCATAGGGCAACGTTTCCTTAATCAGCCCCACATTTGAAGGTTGCAAAGGAACTGCAGCGCAAACATACTGTGTATGCAGACACCAAGTTGGTTGAACTTTTCGATGAAGATGCAATCAGTTACTCATATGCCACGAGGAGTTTTCAAGCTTGTGCAATTGCATAAGTATGAGCTCATCTATGACTGATTGTGTGAAGTTGCACGAATATGCAGCTCCATCCTTAAACCCACTTCTTATATTCCTCACACACAGCAACGCGACTAAATGTGAATGAACTTTGCCGCGGTGTGTCAGGTTCTACCCTGCGCTTTACTCCAATTCGAGATGGGAATTGCAGGTTAATCGCGACATGATGTCGTAAACAACACTTAATCATATTTATTTCATCTGTACCTGTGGCTGAAAAAGCAACCCGTGACGCCTCTCTCACCGAATGCACCTGCCCAGTCAATGAATGGAGCAAAGAGACTCTCAGATATCGTCTTTACTCCTCGGCCATTTCCTCTTTTTCTTAAGTTGCTCCGGGCAATTCATGTTGCGTCTCAAAACATTTCCGCTGAATGCAGCTTTCCCATTGCCGTGCATTGCTTTGTGTGCGCGAGGGTCACTTGCCTGATAGACAAACATAGACAACCATTCACAGTCACATTCACGCCTAAGGACAATTTACAGTCTTACAACAGGCATGTTTATTAAGTGGGACGATGCCAGTGAAAACCCACGCACGCACAAGGAGAGCATGCAAACTCTTCACAGGAAGGTGATTGTGCTCGCCATTCATCCACCGTGCTGCCTAATACACTCTTAAGTATTTACATTTCTGAATCCTCCTCCTATTTTATAGTGGTTCTGTGTGTGTGTGTGTGTGTGTGTGTGTGTGTGTGTGTGTGTGTGTGTGTGTGTGTGTGTGTGTGTGTGTGTGTGTGTTGCTGGGTGTTGGCTGTTGGTCTTCACGTATGGTTTTCAGGCCTGAATGACAGCTGTACACAGAGGCTCTATTCATTCGGTCCGAAGAGCACTTTCACGGATGTAACTGCAAGGTCAAGGCGTGCAAGGGATGAAGCCGTTTATTTAAAAAAAACAAAACAAAAAAAACGTTTTAACTCAACTGTATTTATAGAGCACTTGCACAGCACAGCCATTGCTGTATACAAAGTTAACACAAGGCAGCGCGGTGAAATAGTGTTTAGCTCAAGTGTCTCGCCGGCGAGAGTTTTTGGATTCAAACATTTAGTTGAAGTGGCTATGATGTGACTGAATGGTTGTCTCCGGCGTACCCAAGGGTAGATTCCAGGATTGGGTGGAATGTGTACCATGCGTATTAAAAAACTCTGTATTGCTTTGTACCTCAGAGCTACAACTACACCCATCTGTCAGCTGGCGACCTGCTGAGGGCCGAACGGGCCAGAGAGGGATCGGAGTTTGGAGTTCTCATCGCCAACTTCATCAAGGAAGGCAAAATTGTCCCTGTGGAGATCACCATCAACTTGCTTAGAATGGTGAGAAACGGAGTCGCACGCATGCCACACGTCAAGTTCCTCAAGAGCCGTTTGCAAGTTATTTGCTTTGTCTGAAATGATTCTAATTTTCTCACAACTTTCTTGGTGACAGTAGAAACCCTTTTTGATCCCTCTTTTTTTTTTTACAAAGGTGTAGTAGTTTGGAGTGAGTAGTTCGGCTCAGTATCTCGGATGCCTTTGTGGGTTTTTTTTTCGTTTTAAAATAATGCAAAAGTGGGTACAGCGAACATGCATTTATGCCCACTAGATGGCAGCAATGTCTAAGGTACTGTTGAATTAAAAAAAAAAAGTCTACAGTACATACCTCCTTATGCTGTGAATATCAACAGATCATGACATCACTAACAACCGTTTTAATGAGAGCACGTATTTGCATTGGGCCCACACATTGCACATTGACGAGAAGTTAATTTTCTGCCAAATGTTCCTGTTATAGGCGCTTATAAATAAAATGTATTATTATTATTATTAAATTGTATTGTTGTGCATGGAGCCTTTGCTTCCACAAGGGGGCAGCAGTGTCCTAATTGTGACAACCAGCCGCTTTGAATAACAAATATTTTCCGTTTTGGCAAAGGGGGAAAAAAATCTCTGCCCAAACCCTGACCGCCAGTGCAATTCTGTTTTTGCCCCAGTTTTTATGTCACCGTGACAAACCAGATGGATTTTGCGTTGAGCAATGAACAAAACAAATTTGTTTCTTGTTTGTGTTGTGTTTTTCCATCAACAAGTATGTCCCACTTTTTTTCATTCCCCCCTTAAAGGCAATGGAAGAGACCATGAAAAAAGATGAACAAAAGTTTCGCTTCCTCATAGATGGCTTCCCCCGTAATGAGGACAACCTTCAGGGTTGGAACAAAGTCATGGATGGCAAAGCAGATGTCAAGTTTGTCCTTTTCTTTGACTGCAGCAATGAGGTATGCCACGGATCGCCATGCCGCAGAGAAGTCGATCATCTTTTGCCTGTCGTGACACCGACGATCTCTTTTCCCTTGTGTGATCCGTGCACAGGTTTGCATCAAAAGATGTTTAGAACGAGGAAAGAGCAGCGGGCGTACAGATGACAACAGAGAAAGCTTGGAGAAACGGTGCGCTAAACCTCAGATTGGTGTTTTCCAAAATTAAAACTTGGAATGCACCAGTGCCGCTTTTTTTTTCCTGACATGGTACAAGTCCAAGTATTCGCCGATACCGAGTGTCGAGACTTGATAATGCCGATGTGTCGTTTTATTTGAATTAAATATAGTAGTTGGAAAAACCCAACATTATTTTTAATACGCATATACAGCATTTTACTCAGATTTTGTATTTTCTTCAGTCAAAATGACAAAAGCTTTCCATGTCAACCCGACGACTCCTTCAGATGCAGCTTCAGAGTATCGATTGCAAAATATTTTCTATACCTGAACACGAGCAAAATCAATAAATATATCCATGACCCATTTTTTTCATGTACTTTGACACCTTTGCAAGTGTTTTTGGACCTGACTTACAAGCACTTCTCATCCCTTGTGTCATCTGGTTTCCCCCCCCATACAGAATCCAAACGTACCTGCAGTCAACACGACCGATCATCGAGCTGTACGAGAAGCAAGGCAAAGTGCGCTGTGTAGATGCCTCTCACTCTGTGGCTGAGGTGAGTGTGCTCGGCAACTGCGTTAGGGAAACGTGTCGAGAGCTCAACTCCAGGTTGAAGCAGAAACGAGAACTTCTCCGTTTCAAAATCGCAATCATGTGCGGCAGGACTCGCCCCCTTATCCTCTGCCAATAGCGGGGATTCACTGTTTATCGAAAAGGTGGCCGACAAATGACCGGGCACTAGTCTTGGACGCGGGCTGCTTTTTGAGGCAAAAGTGAGTGAGATTTCAATGCGAGCTGTACTTCCTTTTTTTAAGACTTTGCAGATCTTTCTCATTTACTTTATAACTGCAACATGTTCATTTTGCTCACAGTGGCCCTCAAAAAGAATATCTTTGGCTCATGTTTTTTTTTGACTGTGGTTCCTGTGTCGAAAAGTAGCACTGCAATCAGTTATCAACTCCTCATGAATGTTGGCAGCTTCTCCGCATCGAATAATGCTTGTCCGGGGTTTTTACACATAAAGGCAGTTTTCACATGTGTTTGCTCAAGGCAAAAAAAAAAAAAAGCCAAGCTTCAATGATAACTGTGCCCTGCCTTCTAACAAGTCCGGGTTTGTTTTTGTGCTGACGTCCAACGCTTGCGTGTGCACACTTGTGATGTGGGATCGTGGCGCCACCCCACAACGCATTTATATTTGAAACAACAAGGTGGAACATCATCCATTCCCAAAAGCGAGACAAGACAAAAGGACCATTTAGCCTAGAAAAGTTTGTGATAATTTTTTTCAGCATAGCAACAGTAAGGTTTGAGTTCATGCTCCCTACTTGGAAGTCAAAGGAAAAAAAAAATGGGCCAAACAGTAGCTGGCATCTTGAAAAACCGAAGTCGGGTCACGGGGACCTCAAGGCACCACACTCCTCACGTGTTTGTCTCTTCCAGGTCTTTGCTGACGTGAAACTCATCTTTGACAAAGAGGGTTGACTTAGGCCCCGCTGTCGCCGGCACTCATTTTTACTCTTTTTAGTTTTTCTTTTTACCACCTGCCATTTCGTGATGAAAAACGTCATATTTATCTCTGCATCCATTGGCACTTTCGGTTACCATGTCTATTTCTTTCTCTTGTAAAATCTGCACTATTGTTTTTTTTTTTTCCTTTTTGGGCCATAGTGTACAATGTTTAGGGTAGGAATTAATAATGAAAAGCTCACAGTTAGTGACTCTGGTCCATCCGTATGGTCTTCCATCGTAGTTCGGAGCGCTGTCCGTAGGGACAAAATATACTGTTACCAATGAGGTGTGCTTTGCTTCACAAATGTATTACTGATCTCATTACATTATCGTTTTTGGCAGCAGCCGCCGTGCTTTTCAGACCAAATCAACAAACGTACCGACGTGAGAATTCAAAGGGAGCTGAAATAGTTCATAAAATGCATATTTATCCCACTGCCAAGACCACGGCCGGACGGGCCTGACCAAGTTGCGCTTTCCACGCTTCGTTACTGTACTTAGAAGTTCTGTGACTCAAAGGAGTATGAGCAAGATCAGAACCACTCAATGCGCTTAATCACGCCCACGCCTCCTGAGATGTCTGTATCTGCAGAAGATAAAAAGCAGCTATGAAAATGTTCCTTGTTGTATTTATTTGCATCTTTGTATCTTGAGCAATAGTACACAAAGTTGACGAACATGACATTCACTTAAGCCCACCTAAAGCATACCGTGGCCCATATTTTTGGTGATTGTGTTTTTGATTTCACACTCATTTTACACAACTTTAAAACTGGTTGCAATAATAAAATTATCGCCACCTGTTAAATATTGAACTTGTTTTCCATTCAGAAGGGGAAATTTTAATTTTTTTAAAAATGTATTCTTAAGTCATACTGTAAGCTAATGGACCCGAAGAATTTTCAACGCAAGTGTCTCGTGATGTGAGTGCATGAAAGGTATTAAAGGCAACTGTTAATTACCTGCGCAACTTTAGAAAATGGCTTTGGTATCGCCAAAATAGTGTTTGTACAGTGTAAGAAGAGGAGCCGTGAAAGACAAGAGTGCTGCTGCGGTAGGCATATTTATTTCTGTTTCATAAATATAAATATATATTACGTATTCTGCAGTTACAAAGATGCGATTAAACATAGGCAATATTCCTGAGCATGTTTTAGCTTGTCTGCATTTTACGAGCGGCATACAGTGAACAACTAACAAAAAAGAAAAGCATGACTGTACATGGCATTTACATCAGAAACCGACAGTCGCCAATAAAACATTCGAATGTTAAGGCACTGTAATAATACACGTAGTACGGTCAAAGGTGTACTGTTTGTTCAGGAAATTTTGCAGCACCAAAATTGGGGCAATGTGGCAAGGTAAATTTGAATGCAAAATAATTTTTTCTTAGCCATGCATCAGGGGCAGGGGGCATGCTTTTGAGAACATCTCAACATGTTAGTAACAAGGGAAAAACAAGTATATCTGAAAAGTCTGAAGACTTTCTGAATATCAGCAATATGTGTGCAAAATACCAACGATGGCTTATGAAAAGATTGTACTGTACATACAAAGGAAAATACAAATGGATGTCAATCTGTACACAAAAAGTACCAAACGTGACCAAAACAAAGCCTCTTATTGTCACTGTCCTTCAGTAAAAGCTCAGTGGGCATGAAAACCTTTCCACGCTCTGCCAGCAGATGGCAATCATATTTACAACAAAAGTGATGACGTTGGCGGCCAAACTTGAATCAATACTGGAGCGAACTGTAACAAGTCATGTTGTGTTGGAAAGAAAAAAAAAATGTGTTCAAATTCACAGTCCCAATGTACATTCAGTTGAGGTTTTCAAGAATAAACTCTGAAATACTTAAAAATAGTCCAACATTGACAAAATCTGGTTCTTTGGATTACAAAACTCTTCTTTTGTTTGTTTACAATACATTGGCCGATGGAGGGGGGTTGCAACTCAGCAGGGCAGGCTGCCGGATGCCGGGCGGTACTGCGCCTTGGTGTTCGTGATGGCGCCGTGCTTCTGTCGGAGGTGAAGCCTCAGCTGACTCTTGTGTCTGAAGTGGAGGTCACACTTTTCACACTGAGGAACAAAGGACACAATTTAAACTCAAGTTCTTGCAGAGGGTTGTGAAATTCCGTAACTTTTTTTTTTTTTAACTTGCAAACCTAACATGGGAGCAGAAAATGGCCTAAAACAGACAGATTGCATGCAAGTACAGTTGAATAGGACGAGCCCCGCTGCCTGATTGGGTTTTGAGAGATATATATATATATATATATATATATATGACAGATAGATAGATAGATATATAAACTATTTCAACGGCAACAGATTCCTTTCTTAAAGTATCATGATTTTTTATTTATTTATTTATTTTTGTATCATGACAGGGTTAATATTAATGCTTGTATTTAAGTTGCACGCCTGCTCAGATCCTTCCCATTACCCATTTGGACGCCCACTCGACAGATACATGCTAATACTCTTGTTTGGCCCCCACCCCCCATCAGATTTGACGGAAACACTTACATGGTAAGGTTTCTCTCCGGTATGAATGCGCATGTGACTCTTGAGCGTCTGTAGGTGGCGAAAGTGAGTCCCGCAGATTTCGCAAGGGTATGGCTTTTCTCCTGTGTGAATTAACACGTGGGCGCGAAGGTGGGCAACCTGCCAAAACAACAAAATAATGATCATTCAAACAATGCAGGAATGTCAAACACTTAAATCGGGTGCAGGTAATTATGACTTATTCCTTCCCTCTTAACTGGTCCGCAAACTATTATATCGAAGAGACTCAGGTTTCGCAGCAAGTTAATTTGCGAGCGGTCTCGGAAGATTTTCTCACCTGGACAAATCTGGAGCCGCATGTATCGCACTTGTATGGCTTCTCCCCAGAATGGATGCGGGTGTGGGTCTTCAGATTAGCTGGCCGGTTGAACTGAGCCCCGCAGATGTTGCAGCAGTACGGCTTTGCACCTACAAGAGTGATGACAAATTCAGTCAAGGTATCAAATATATTATTTTTATGCAAGCAGGCCAAGTGATGGACAAATATAAGCCGTTAACTCACCGGGACATGGTGGAAGTAAGTCTACACAGCCCTGTTTGAATGCCCAGTTTTTGTGATCTCAATAAATAAGACCACAAACTTAACCTTGAGGCCTATAACGTGTACAAGTTGAACGACAAAATATTTTCCAGAAGCGAAGCAAAAACAAAACGACTGCAATAATGTGGTTGCACAACTGGTGCGTGAATGTTTTCAGAGTCAGCCGTCATTTTCAAACTCGTGTTAAGTGACAGTCAGCACACACCTGCCACCATTTAAAGTGCCCTTGATGAACCACAAATACATTTCAGATGTTGCAGAAGGCCTTTGCTGGTGTTTTTTTTCTTTTTTGCCTGAATTTATGCTCACACTGTCAGCTATTTTGTACCGCTCATAATTCCTTCCATCTTGTCCAAGGCGCCAGTTGCAGCTGAAGAAAACAGCCTCAAAGTGTGATGCTGTCACCGCCATGCCTCACAAAAGAGATGATTGGTGTTTTTTGGGGGGTGAAGTGCAGCATCTGCACCAAACATACTTTTTGTAATTATGGCCAAAAAGCTCAACTCGGACCGTAACAAAATCTCCCAAAGACATGTGCGAAAATGTGCGAGAATGATGACTACTTTGTCACAGCAATCAGTGTGAGCACAAAACCTTCATGCTTCTGCCACGATGCAAAAGACATTTTAACAAAAGCCTACTAGAACATGTGAGATTTTTTTTTTAGGTCAATCTGAGGCACTTTAAAGGGTGACAGGTGTGTGGGTGACTTGTTTGAATTAATGAGCTTAATGAGCTGTACAGGTTATAGGTCACATTAATGGTGGGGAGTGGCTTGAAATGCTTTCTATTGGTCTCATTGCGGAGCACCACAAAAACCTGGCATTTGAACAGGGGTGTGTCGACTTTTTATATTTGCTGTGTGCGGTCTGCTGTTTTTCCCCTTAATTGTTTTAACAGCTTTTCGTTGTTTGACAACGGCAATTCAAATATATATCGATATAAATAAACAAATTGGCGCCTACGGATGCCAAGCGGGTGATGACGACCTTGACTGTAAGCGGTAATCTCACCTGTGTGAACAGTCTTGTGGCTGGCCAGGTTGCCTTTGTAGCGGAAGGCAGCCTGGCAACAGTCACACTTGTACGGCTTCTTTCTGTGGACCTGCGCCGCGTGGTCTTTGGGGCAGTCGTCTTCGAGGAAGCCCTCTGTAAGTCAGAAGATGCGTCGTCAGCGCGCCCTTGTTTTCGATCTCATGTCAATACTGTCGGATGCGGAGGGAGGGCGGAGTTGTCCTTACCGCAACTCGACAGCGAGAACTTAGAGTCTCCGCAGTAAGAGTTGGGAAAGAGGTGAGTGGCCTCCATCTGTTGGGGGCTGTCGCAACCGCACGAGGAGCATTTGTGGCGGCTGCAAGGGAAGAACAGACGTTGATGAATTCAACATGACTTGGGCCGTTTTCGAAAATCATTCACTCGTTCCCCGTCTTCCATCTTCTTTCCTGTATTTGTATTGTCTTGAACATTGTCATCCTTCTATGGTCTTTCCTTTATGTTTCACTGTGTTCCACTTGTGTTTATGTTTTTCTGTTTTATTGTCGAGTTTATGCACAGCCGTTTATTTCAACTGCGGTTGTTTTTCATGGGATGTAGAAATTGAGTCGAGTTCAAAGTTAAATACAACTGAACTGCACTGGGGTCTTAAAAAAAAAAAAAAAGAAGGTTAAGCCACTGCATAGTGTGACTGTTTAATTCAACGTTTCTTTCAAGTACCAATTTGAGAGCCGCTGATTTTTTTTAGGTCAATCTGAGGCACTTTAAAGGGTGACAGGTGTGTGGGTGACTTGTTTGAATTAATGAGCTTAATGAGCTGTACAGGTTATAGGTCACATTAATGGTGGGGAGTGGCTTGAAATGCTTTCTATTGGTCTCATTGCGGAGCACCACAAAAACCTGGCATTTGAACAGGGGTGTGTCGACTTTTTATATTTGCTGTGTGCGGTCTGCTGTTTTTCCCCTTAATTGTTTTAACAGCTTTTCGTTGTTTGACAACGGCAATTCAAATATATATCGATATAAATAAACAAATTGGCGCCTACGGATGCCAAGCGGGTGATGACGACCTTGACTGTAAGCGGTAATCTCACCTGTGTGAAGATATAAATAAACAAATTGGCGCCTCCGGATGCCGACCTTGACTGTAAGCGGTAATCTCACCTGTGTGAACAGTCTTGTGGCTGGGGGGGGGGGGGGGGTGGGGGAGGCGGGGGGGGGCGGGGGCGCGATCTCATGTCAATACTGTCGGATGCGGAGGGAGGGCGGAGTTGTCCTTACCGCAGCTCGACAGCGAGAACTTTGAGTCTCCGCAGTAAGAGTTGGGAAAGAGGTGAGTGGCCTCCATCTGTTGGGGGCTGTCGCAACCGCACGAGGAGCATTTGTGGCGGCTGCAAGGGAAGAACAGACGTTGATGAATTCAACATGACTTGGGCCGTTTTCGAAAATCATTCACTCGTTCCCCGTCTTCCATCTTCTTTCCTGTATTTGTATTGTCTTGAACATTGTCATCCTTCTATGGTCTTTCCTTTATGTTTCACTGTGTTCCACTTGTGTTTATGTTTTTCTGTTTTATTGTCGAGTTTATGCACAGCCGTTTATTTCAACTGCGGTTGTTTTTCATGGGATGTAGAAATTGAGTCGAGTTCAAAGTTAAATACAACTGAACTGCACTGGGGTCTTAAAAAAAAAAAAAAAGAAGGTTAAGCCACTGCATAGTGTGACTGTTTAATTCAACGTTTCTTTCAAGTACCAATTTGAGAGCCGCTGATACAGGGAAGACCCGATGTACCGTCGTATATTGTGCATAAAAGTGCAAAGATTCTCCAAGTGCGCCGCCTGGGCTCCCGCTAGAAGTACGTGAAAGAACTGCCCAAGTTGAGTTCAGTGCATTTAATCCTTAAGAACTGGTGTTTTAAAATATTTATTTCGCAACAATTTCTATGTAACTTATCTGCCAGACATTTTATTTGTATATTTTCCGATTTTGAATCGCAGTGTTAATGTTCAAACTGTTTCTCTTTTTTGCTTTTTCTCCAATAAAGCCTCTGTCTCATTTTTGACAGCCGTTCACACTGAGTCACTGAAATGTGTACTTTGTGTAACTTACCCATCAACAGTCGTGGCGTTTTCTTCCCTGTGTTCACCGGCTGCTTCTTCCGTTTGGGATTCCCTTTGGTCTCCGCCACTCCTGCACGGACTCCGCGAAGGAGATCCGCTTTCAGGACTGCTTCTCGGAGCATCCATTTCCTTGCTCTCTGGGTTTTGGTTCATCACGATGAATTTGTACTTCTTCCAGTTTCGGACCTTGGCTTCTTTGTGGCAATCCGGTGGCTGTTTGAGGCTCAGGGTCGCGTTTCGACTGCTGCTCGACTCAGTGGGCGAGTTGGGTTGGCAGTCGGATCTCAAGGGGCTCTGAGGGCTGCAAATCACACCTTTGCCAAAACTGAGAGACGATCGACGGCAATCGGCAAGAGGGTGCTGAACGCCGTCTTCCTCCATGTGGGCGGCAGGTCGAATGATAGCGGGATGGAAACCGATAATGGCCGAAGACTCCTTGTGAGGCGCATCGGGGCCGGGAACTTGCACAAATGGTTTGTGGGACAAGGAGAATGCTCTGGTTGGGGTGCCCGTCGGTTGGGAATCTACGGACTTGCCAGGGGGGATGTGGCGATCGCCATACACGTGATAGGAGCCGGAGGTGTTGATGCCCCGAAAAACGCTGTAACCCCTGCACTCCTGAGGAGGGGGCGATGTGGCCGTGTACCTGTTTTTAACATCTAACTCGGTCACGTGGATCGGCCTCAGTGTGGAGAGTTGGTCGGCCAGGGGTAACATGCTGGTCTGCACCTCTTCAACGTGCACATTTAAAGATGGCCTGGAGAAACATAATCCAGCCATGTCACTGATTTCCATTCGCGAACGATAGGGACCCCATTAAATTTTTTTATAATTGCCTATATTCATATTTTTAAACCAAAATATACCACAAACTACGATCCCTAAAAAAATTATAATTTCAAACAACACCGCCCCGAAAAATAACTAGTTTGCAGGTGTACATTTTTATGCTGCACAGACTCTCCATAACAACCCAGGCTCAACTTAACTTCCTCCCCCGAAATACAAATTTTGTCTGCAAGTCGAGATGTATCACTTGTACATCCAGCGTACCGCTTTCTTGTTTTTGTGCTCTGTGACGTGCCCTAAAATGCCACAGGATGACACCAAAGCGCAATCTTTAACAGCTAACACTTTTTTTTTTCCTTTTAGATATTTGAGAACTGTTTTTGCTGAGCATTTACAATTTGATTTTGGAAAAAAAAAATGCACCGGATGTATCGAATACGGCAAAGACTATCCATCTTCCACGAACCGAAGTTAAACTTGGCTCCTCCCCCCCGACATGCGAAGCTGGTTTCTCTGTCGAGATGTATCTCTTCAACATACTTCCTTGACAGTAATTCCTATTTATATTTTCTAGCATCTCAAGGCGTTTTAAGTTGAATATGCAAGGGCTTACTTCATAATGTGTGTGCTGCGATGCTTACCTGGACTTGATGAACCTGTGACAGGTGTCAGCCACGTGCTCCATCTGGAGGTAGAGCGCCGTGTTCATGGTGCCCGCCAGCATGCTGTCCGTCAAGTTCAGGCAAGACGTGTACATGAAGTCCAGGAGGTTTGAGAAACTCTTGGCATCTATTTTGGGATCCAAACTGATAACACTGAGGTTTGTGTTCTCGGGGTTCATGAAGACCGAATAAAAGAAGCCACTGAAAGGAAAGGACAGGAATCAGGATCATTGTCCCCCGTCGCTCCCTGCGGTCCGGTCACATTTCTGCATTACCTGCAGGCCACCAAGATGGCCTTGTGAGCGTAAAAAAGCTGACCGTCCACTTGAATGGTGACGTCGGTCAGGATATTTCTGCTGCGGAGGCGGTTAAAGTTGAGCAGGACGTCACCTGCATGGCGCGTAAATTGAACACACCCATTTGCAGTCATCGCCATGCTGTGAAAACTAAGCAAAAGGAACAAATGTGTCCAAAATGAAATGAGGTTTTATTCATGTTCACCTTTCATGGGAATTTAAGGCTGCTAAAGTGTGAGGTCCCCCGTACCACCGTTTTCCATCAAAACAATGTTGATGGGACTGCAACAACGAATCAAATATTGGGAATAATTCGACGTCCTGACTCACAGCAAATCAGTTAACAGCAAGCCTAATCTCAGCTCACAACAGCCAACTCTACCTTCGTTTGCTGGCACCCACATCACTCACCAGGCCAGACATCACCTTTTAAAGCCATCCACACTCAGTTGTTATTGGGTGCACAGTGAGGATAGTGACCTCAAGTGGACAACAATAATAACTGCACCTGAAATGGCATATGTGGCCTTTTTTGTGTGTGCAGTAAGAAAAATATTCACTTTAATCCAATTAGTTGATCATGGGAAAGCTGCAGCCCCCCATATACATATTTTTTTACCTCATTAAAATGTCTAGGCTGTAATTCTTATTAATTAAATGGCTTCATCATTAATAAAACTGCTTTCCTTTAAAACACAAGGACATTTCTTAGTGACCCTAAACTTTTGAACGGCAGCGTGTTTTATATTGGTTTATGTTTTGCACTTTAATACCTGATTTAAGTGCATTGCACTATGGCAAATGACAACAAATACCAATGCTATTATCCATCCATCCATCCATTTTTTTTTTCTTGAACGGGGGCGTGGCCAGCAGAATTTGGGCAAGATTACACCCTGGACTGGTCGCCAGCCAGCTATGGTACATCTATTCTACAATATTAAAATAATAAACTACATACTAACATATAATAACAAGCTTAATTTTGCCTTTAGGTTTTCAAAATCAGTCGTTTTTCTTGTTTGAAGGCCGTTTCTTCTTCCCAGGCCTCAGCACAGTTCTAAAATGTTTTCCCGTCCGAAAAAAATACAACTTGAACTCATGCCAATCATCTCGAGTACTACTCACAGCTATTAGGTTGCATATTTGCATCGTATCTGTCGATTGCTACTTGATGTTGTGATCACGTTCTTTCTTTGAGTGTGGCAAAAAAAAGAAGTTAGTGAACTGACACTTGGCAATCTCTCACCAGGGGGCGGCGAATTATGGAGAGAAAAAAAACTACTGTAACCTCCTCGCCTTGATCTCACTTAACACGGTCTCTTAATTACAGGGCGATTGCTCTCCTTATAAAAAGCTATTACATACGCTCAGTGACTCAGCCGTCTTCGTATGTTGGGTTTGAACTTCAAAAACGATCATATTATAGGATAATACAGATAAATAAATAAACATGACAGTGGATAACATATGAACCCCACATTTCTCATCTTCTATCTCAATCTTATATTCGATCTTTCCCCCTTTCTTCCCCAATCTGATCAGAAATCAGCCAAACTCAAGTTTTGAAAGATAACAAATAATCACGTTGCGTTCAAGGACACTCGCTTTAGCCGCGTTGGGTTGCTTGGCCACGCCAAGAAAGTCAGGCCCTGAACACAACAACGCTGCGTTCAAGTTCAGACTGCGCCATTATTAGTTTGTCTCGAAATGCTGCTTACAGAGGAAAACACATCCCCATAGCAAGCTTCTGTTACGTTTACTTGACAGTAAAAACGACACTCAAACCAGACAGACCGGTCAGATTGCGCCACGTTTAGTGACAGCAGGGTCGTAAAAAGTTAACCAAGTATGACTGCTTACATAAAAGAAAAGGCAAGCCAATGTGGGGACAATTCAAAGTCAACAACCCAACTTTCTCAGCCACGCACAAGCCCATTCATAACGTCAACAAATAAAATCATCATCCACACATCTACACTTTTAAAAAGTCACAAATTGTTATAAGGGTCTAGCTGTTAAAGCGGCACTGTTAATGTCTAATATAGGAAATAGGAAACAGCAAGTCAGCCGAGGAGGGAAGCCTAAAGTTGTGCTTCTGTGTCGGGAAGAGTGAAGGCGAGGAAGGCCGGAGAGTGGAAAAAAAAACTAACCTTGTAAAAAGTTTCCTCGAAAATCCGAGCCACTCCACTTCTGCGAATCCAGTTCTAAGAAACTGAGCTACTCAATTCTCGGAATTTCAACATCGGCACGTACCATTTTGTGGGCGACGGGGCGGTCACGGAAAAAAAAAACACCGGCCTTTTTCGAAAACCCTATTAATAAAAACTAGACGGCGTAACAAAAGGTAGTATTTTACAAGTCAATCGACTAATATTTTTTTATTTCTACCGTATTCGCCACGGCAAAGTCATGTTTTCGAATGCTTCAGCGACGTTCCCGAGCAGTGGAACATTCCGAGTGAGCGGTCAGCTGACCAAGTTATAAATACCGAGAGGAAAATGAGAACATGTTGAACTTGTGGCAGCACACTCGCTCACAATCGGACAACGCAAGCCTCATTTTGGATTTTTCATCATGTAATACACGTAATACAACCTCCCCGCGTCGTAATAATTGGTCATAGCCCGATTTTTTTCCCATATGGAATGGATGCATAAATAAGTCTTGAGAATGTTATTTTAGCTGGAAAACTTGACAATGTTTAGCAGTATGAGCTCATGCATGGCACAATATACATAAACTCAGATTGTCTTAGCAGGCAAACAGACAGCCATTAGGAATTCACGCGTATTAAAAATAACAATATAAACTAACTACAAATAAAAACAAACACAAAGAGCAGCATTGAGGATGAACTCAAACACCTATACATTGAAATCTAATCTAAAAGGGGAAAAAGAAAAAAGAGAAGATTAAGACGTTGCATGTTTTTATTTGGTAAGTACTGAATGTTGTTCAATTAAGCTACAGTAATATTTGTACAGTTGTTGCAAAATACAATATATTGTTGACACTGATATATATATCACACACACACACACGGTGCCATAATGACGAATTTTAACACATCCAATACATACATAGAGTGTATGGAAGTTGCTATGAAGTTGAGTTTATGCATAACAGTTCTTTTGAGATTTGACAGAAATTCTCTATTTAAGTAAGTAAATGTTAATGTGATCAGATTGTCACAGTCTGAGGTCATGTTTGCACAAGTGCAAATTAAGAGGCCTATCAATGAATTATAGTCGAAACGGTGCAAAGTACACAGATTAAGAGGCATAATATTCATTGTACATGTGTCGTATGCATAACATTATTGCACAGTTTGCAGAATTATTTGTTGTGAAGGGAGTTAGAATGACATTTTGCATGTACTTAAATGGCTATTTTTTTTTACACCTCACATGTAATGGACTTCTTGAAAATGTGTTCTCAAGTGCTCAACTTTCCACCTGCGCTTGCCTTCGCTTATCTGTTCCCACCACTTCCTGTCTCGCCACCGTGCAGCTGCATATCTAAGTCTTACAAGGTGCAAGTCCCACCATTTCGCAATACACGTGTTCGAAAACGCTCGGACCGAATGACCTCAAAAGGCCAATCAACTTCTCTTCATATCACCCCAAAGACGTTCAATTGAATAATGATAGCATCATGATAGGATATGGAATTGGTAGCTGTAGACTCATCAACAAGTGCGTCAGGGAAATACGACTTCCTCTGCTTGTCATATAGGACTGATTGTGATGCACTGCTACTTTTCACATGCACTCACCAGCCGCTATAGTGCGGCGCATGCGATTGACACAGTCGGAGAGCCTAGTGGGTCAATATCCCAACTGTATAAAGTGCATATGGTGTCCTCGTCAGAATCACTCAGTCATCATGAACATGTAGTAACACAATGAAACTGTGAGGTTTCATTGTACAATAATATGATGTTTCTTAAAATGTGTTTCAAAGGAGGCTGGAAGAGTGGATAGTCATAGATGAAATGTTTACAGTTCATTTGAGTAATTTTCATCATATGACGTGTGTGCAGTGGTGCCTTGAGATGCAAGTGATCTCGAGTTGTTCAAGATATGTCAAGTCAAGTCAAATCAAGTACAACTTTATTGTCAAATGTGTTGTCATTTGGGTGATTTTATTTTTTTTTTGCTTTGACTTGAAAGCGCAAATTTGATATACAAGCATGGTATAGTGGCAGTGAACTCAGCTAATTTCATGACAACCAGCAAGTTTGTCAGATAGTGAACGAATCTTCAAAAAAAAACAAGCCTGCTAGCCTAATGCTAACAAACAGTGGAAAATGCTATTGACATGCTAACGAATAGCATCTTCAGTATGCGGCGTTGATGTAATGCTGTCAGGGATGGTTATTTGAACACAAATGGTGCATCAACATATGTAGACAGACAATCTTACAATCATTTCATTTTCATTAAAAAAAAAAAAGATTTAGTAGTTACAACGTGAATGTTATTTGTTGAAGTGTTGCGTCTCTTTAATCAAGACAACGAATGGTTAATGTCGGAGCAATAATCTCAAATTGCCATGTTGTCGCCAGGCGGAAGTTCCTCCTACGTCCGAAACATTCACCCAATCACAGATGCCACAAGCGGCCGCTGTGGACGATTGCGAAGGCGGGTCCCGTGTAGACGGACACATCAAATTTTTGCCAAGCATGGAGACAAAGCGCGAAACAGTCAGAATGTTTCGTAAGCAAGGGTAAACTGCTAAAGGGAGTGTTTTTGGCAGCGCTTGTCATTCAGGAGCAGAAAGATCTGCGCTGTTCTTCACACCTTTTGTCACCAGGTTACTTATCTGTTGTTGTTTTGACTTTGATTAGTCAGACCAATGAGAAAGCACTCGCTGATGATCGCGTGAGTGAGGGAATCATCCATCCAACCGTCCTTCCATTATCCGAACCGCTTATCGCCCCATGAGGGTCAAATTCATCTTTTCATTGACATTGTGACATCCCACTTTATGACTATTTCTTTTAAACAGGAAAAGGCAAGTTTCCCCAGAATTGATATGCCAAAATCAATCAATGAATTAGAAAAGCAACAGACATAATAAGAAACACATGAATCGGATTTTCTCCATGTTTTTATGAAAGAAGTCTTTTTCAGTTGAGGAGCTGTCGTCCACCTCCCCCCCCCCCTCCTCTGGTAAAGTTAATTAAAAAAAAAGTGAAATTTTCTTTTTTTTTAAGTGTTTATGTTCTGCCACCGGCCAGGGTACAAAGCAGGATTGTTGAGGTTGACGCAACTTATTTTAAAGGAAAAAGGTTCACCTTTCCGAGTGTTGACGCACTGGCATCGGCGACACTCTGATACGTTTGAATGAGATAAGTAAATATGGCTTTGTAAACACCGAGTAGGGACAAGATAAGGCCCTCTATATTATAAATGCACTCCATTTACCTTTACCATTTTGAACTCTTCATTTGTTGGACTTTGACGTGTTTTTCGTCAAAAGTAAATGAAGTCACCCACTCGAATGAATTTGTTCATTTGGTGGCTCATATCAATAAGAAGAGCAAATGGGGATACTTCGGTGCAAGTCTGAGTTCCAGTTTTTATTGTATTTATTTTTTAAAAAGAACAAGATACTCTGGTAGAGTGCTAGCGGTATTCTGCTCATCATAAAAGGAAAAAAATAAAAACATTTTTGGTCGAGGTTTTTGGAGACTTGATTTATTAAAAAAAAAAAAAAAAAAGTGGGAGCTTGAACATTACGCAATCCAAACTATTCCATAGCATCTACATCATACAGAGAATATGAAGTTCAATATTAAATCTGAGAATTTTTTTGCGGGGGCGGGGGTGGGTGGGTTGACTGGTCTGCATTGCAAACAATTATGACGCAAATAAACCCGCTCCAATTTCCTACACAAAATGCTCAGAGCAGATCAACAAGTTTAAACTGCCGCTGTTCATGTCACCGTGGCAACTAAAAGTCTCGCTTGATGACGTTGTCACTTGATGCTTTTACCCTGCAGTTACCTTCAGAAACCCGATTGTGTCCCCCCCACCCCTCATTTCAAAGACGAAGATCTTTTCTCCATTGGAAATGTAAAGAAAACAACTTGAGACATTTGGGGAAAAGCAATCATCTCAACGAAAGAAGTGATCCACTAATATTCTTTACTGTATGGCTAAATTTTTCCGTAAAAAGCACATTTGATGCCTCCTTTACTGGTGTCACAACATCTGAAGTGACCATGCCGGTGCAAAGGCCCGGGTGACAAGCTGGCTGTGTAGTCGGACATAAAAAAATGCCAGCACAAAGCCGCGTTCCACACAATTGCTATCAACTCATGTCGAGCATATCTATTTAAAAAAAAAAAAAAAAAAATCCTCCCCCTCACTCATCTGCCTTTTCCCCCATCAAATGCACGCACTCAAGGCTGACAATGAGGCGCTCGAAAATGGCCATGCCTCAGATGATAATTGGGAAGATGTATTTTTGATGCATTAGCTAAATGCATGTCGCTGATGGGAATGAAAGCACGCAAAATTCTGATAGAGGCACTGCTTTATGTATATATTGGTGAAAAAAAATATATATGCATGTGTGTGTGTTTTGGAAAAACAAACCAAAAAAAAATCGGTGATTTTTCTGTGCTAACAAGCACACCCAACCCCCTTGAATGAACTCGACTGACCTAGGGCCTTAGACGCGGACGCTTATCAACGTGCCTGTCCCAAAACATGACCCAGGCACATGGTTGCCTGACAGGGATCAAAGGTCACGTCAGTAAAATATGACTCTGAAACTAGTTTGGTCTTCACACACGCATATAGCCTGAGGGGGGGAAGGAGGGGCCAGGTATTTATTCCTCTTCAAGGCAACCTTGTACTTGAGACCTGAATTACAGCAATGAGATCCCCGAAAAAAACCAAAACAACAACAACAAATGCCGCCACATGACTTTATCTGTTTGCAAGATTTTCTGAATTGGTCACCTCATCGCCAAACGGCAGTTAAAAGGGGGCAAACAAAAACGACACGACGTGATTTGAATCAACAAGCCCGACAAATACTTGCCTTTCTTATTTATAGCATAGTGACCCAGTGTCTTTTTTCGCAGCTGTTGCCAAGGTGCATGTTGTTCACCGGGTTGGAACACCCCGGCGAGTATGGAAAGTCCATGCGAGCGTGGACGTTTTGAACTTTGAGCCGCTTTAATTACGTATGTCTGAGGCTTACGGGGAGTTGACTTGCAGGCGGTATGCAGCCTTTGCATCATTATTCACATGACCCTCATGCATCAACTAAGTGCTACTGTTGTTGCCTTCAAACAGACTTTCGAAATGCTATTCACATTTGCAGAGTTTTTATTTTATTTTATTATTTATTATTAAAAAAAAAAAACAAATCAAAATGAAAGAGATTTGGATTCTTTTCTTTTGTTCCAAATTTCCAGTTGTTGTGTTTTATCTTTCATCGGCAGCATCTCAAAAATATACTGTTTGGTACTGCTTCAGCGAAATATGCTCCATGTGATGTGGATTTCCCCGTCTGAGATTTCCAATCGTAAAATATACGATTGATGGTCATGAGTAAAGTCAAATTAAAAAAAAAAAAAATAAATAAAAAAAAGGAAAAATGCAATTACTGATTACATACAAACTCAATTTGAAATCAAACCAAGCATGAATTACAAATTAAATACAATTGAATAAAAATATTTATTTTTGTTGCACTTGATCAAATGATAGCAATCACAATTAACATTACATTTAAAATTAAATAGTATAAATTATAAATACAAGTAAAAATGAAATAAATAAAACATAAAAATATATCCAATACTACTTTTAATTGAAACAATGCACTTAAAATAAAACAAAATTACACTTAGAATCACATAAAAAAAAAAAACCATTTCAATTTAGAATGAAATAAAGCGTATCACATTTGGATAAAGCGTGCCTAAATAAACAAATACATGAATCGCTAACAATAAAATAAATACAGAAAGAGAGAAATATTACGTGAAAAAAAAGAAAAAGAATAAAATAAGAACAAATCATCAAATAAATGAAACCGTGACTGTCGTATTCTCCCCTTTACAAAGTACAGCTGCCGAACGATTATTTCTGCTGATGAAATTGGCACATTTCGCACATCCTCTCCCGACCAAACTGAAGAATTGTACACGTTTTGTGTGTCTTTTTTTTTTCTTCCTGTCTACTAAAAGTCAGCCATGTCCTAAGTATTAGCGTCCGCGGGGGTGCTCACAAGAATGGCGGCCTTGTTGTGCTCCAGGCAAGAATGCATGCTCAATCGTCGCCGGCTAAATGGATTAAGTTTGGAGTGGAAAGGTTTAGTCAGAAGATCCGTACAATGAGTGATAGGAGATTGGACAGAAGAGAGACACGAGTTACACTTTGTCCTTTTTCTTCTTCTTCTTTTTGGGTTCTTAGATACCTTTTTGTAAATGCTTTTTTTTTTTTTTTTGCCAGTATCATGAGTAAAAGCTTTGGCTCGCAAACAGATCATCTGTCGAGCTGCCCCACCCACTGCGGGCTTGATCAAAGACATTTTCAGTGTGAGGAATTGATCATAGTGTACCTTGCCTATATGGAATGTTCAGCAATAAATGCACAAAACAAACCAAAAACACATTACAACAACCCCCCCCCACCTTCCTTCCACCTTTCACTGTGGAAAAGTACCAGGGTACACCATGTCGACATGGCAGATTCCCCTGTTGTTTTACAGCAAAGCCCGATGATTGGTCGGAGTTGCCCGCGCATCCAACAGGGGTGTGTGGATGCATTTGAGTGTGCGTGTGCATGTGTGTATGTGTTCACGCATGTAAGAGGCAGAGGAATGTTATTGATGTTTTCCTGGGCACCTCTCCAGTCCTCGAGGTTTGGACGCGAAGTGTCGTAACAGAGGAGCCGGGAACATTTCTGCAGGGGAGAGTCAATCATTGATTGCAACGTATTTTTGCCTAGACAAGCTCGTTCGGCGACACGGAGGACGTCCCCGATTCAAAAATTCTGGATTCGTCTGCGGAATCAGAAATGAAGTTGCAACTCAAAGAAGGCATTGATATCCCCAAAAGTGATCCATTGGGATAAACTTTTCGAGGAGGTTCGGTCACTTCACAAATCTCAATATGAGCAAATCTCTGGAAATACGTTGTCCTAGCGTTGAAGTCGAGCTGGCTCAAGCTAGCTAGCTTTTAAACAATGTGCGACATGTAGTGTATGTTTCTTCTCCTGAGCATTATGTACATTAAAAAAAAGTCATAGGGCCATGCAAAAATCACGTACATCCAATAGAAAAAAAATATCTGATTAGAATAAAGGAAACACATGGCAGACTTCTCATTGAACTCAGATGCGTGCAAACGTTTGGCCGTTTATAACGAGACCCGAAGGTTTCCTTCTTCCGTTCCATTTTCATGACGACCGAGTGATTGTGACTCAAATCCCAAAGACGCTCCGTCGCACTATTGACCCACCTCTGTCATTTTTGCCGTGGCCTCCAGAGTCATTGCCTCGGAGTGAAGCTGCTTGCTCTCCCGGCCCCCCCACGTCCCCCGTTCCCAGACACTCTGTAGAAACTCCACACAAAGTGAGCTTGTCTGTTGTTTAATGTCACTGAAATGTAAACAGTGGCTGCGGAAGGTGCTGGAAGGTAGCCGGCTGTCGCGTTGGCCGCATGTTTACTCAACGATGCAAGAGAAAGGCCAAACGGGACTGCGGATAGGGGGACGAAACACTTCAAATAGGTGGCCGTGGATTTGTGGATTTCAGTTGGAGAGAGAAGGCGAACATTTTGCAAGTGAAATTCTTGAAAACGACACATACCGTTATAGCTTCAATATAAACACGGCGGTGTGGATGGGTGTGTGCGTGTGAAAACAGATGTGTACGAGTATTAAGGGAAGCGCAACGCGGGAGTGGTTAGCACGTTTGCCTGCCGCACAGTTCTGAGGTGTGGGCATTGAAAAATTTTCCTTCGCTGGTTTTCATACGTCAAAAATGGCAGCATGCAAGAGGCGCAGTTCTTCAATTTGAATTTATTCAAGACCCGGTGAAGTGAGTTTGTTTCTAAATACATCCGTTCATTGTTGAAAATACGTGCAAAGATTGGTCATTATGTCACACTGAGGAAGGAAGTGGTAACAGCTACGACGAAGGCTGGAGACGCGACCAAAACTGTCAGCAAGGTACGAAAATTTTGGAGTCTGGTGTGAGTCGCCCTTCCCCCGCTTTATAATAACTTCCGTGCCGTCCTCTGCGGTTAACCCGGCGCAATTGTGATGTGCACTTAGCATCTAGCGTTGCGTCTTCTCATCCAATCGCCTGTTGGCGCGGCTGCATTAGAACGCCTCGTTGTGAGCCGTGAGAGTGTGAGAGAAATACAGAAGCGAGAAGATGGGGAACATTAAAAAAAAAAAAAAAGAAATTATAAATAAGTTTGACTCCACAGCCAGTGTGTGGTCAGAGGCTTCACACGGCATGGTCGCTTAGGAGCGCCTCATTGTCGCCGCATGGAGAAAAAAAAAAAGCCTCGTGACAACCCAGTGGGATACACTCCAGCCACTGGATGTGGATATATTTTCGCACTTCAAACGTGTTGTTTTTTTGTAGGCTTAAGAAAGATGCTAGCCAAAGTAGCATCCATTTTTCAAGGAGCAGTTTAAAACAGCTTGAATTTCCAGAATTTTAAAGCCTCTTTCTATATACATGGCTGAAAAGAGGACAGCAAGAGAGAGAGAGAGAAAGATAGGTTGTGGTCAGCCCGTCAAAGACCAGCAGAGGCTGGTGGATCTGAGAAAGGAAATCTGAGCTGCTGTGGGAGTGGTCACGGCCAACTTCAATAATGGCCAATCGAAGCAACTCCTTTCATGTCCTTCAAACGTGACACACTAATTACACGGTATAAAAAAGTCTCGACATGGCGGAAGTATATCTGCGATGTGAAGTGGGCACTTGGAGACCACCCCCGCCCCGATCGTTCGTGCGCCCCACTCCCCCCTTTTGCTGTGACGCCCAATGGGATCATTCAACAAATATAACACAGTGAGTCAGAGGGTCTGATTCCCGCTGTTCCTATATTTATGAATGAAATACGTCACGTTCGACCAGCTGTCTGCCCTGCGTCATTATTAGACAAGGTCTGAGCAGCGGGCACGACTCCATGATTTTTTTTCTCTCCTGGGCCTAGAGGAGGGGGGCGAGGGGGGGCTTGACAAATACGTAGGCAGGGTGAGAAAATAATGGCTAAATATATATTTAGCATTAAACTTAGCCATCCCTGAGCAGGCAACAGATTTCGATTGACTTTCTGCCTCCAAATAGTCACTCCGCCTGGCGCATCTCCAAGACGCTCCCTCTAGTGCGCCAGTCCACCCGGCTTGACGGAGACCAGGTTTGTCAAATTGACAATCATACGCAGAGAGCTTTGCACAGGAATACAGAAATCAGGATCACAACGCAGGTGCATTCTTTGAAAAATAGAGTCCATCATGTCTCAATGAACGTTATAATGGCACGGTGGTCGACTGCCTCACAGTGCAAAGATGCAGGGTTCAAATACGGGCTCCTGCGTAGTTTTTCTCCGGGTACTCCGGTTTCCTCCCACATTCCAAAAACATGCACGGCACGTTGATTGGGCACTCCGAATTGTCCCGAGGTGTGATTGTGAGCGCGAATGGCCATTTGTCTCTGTGTGGTGAAGTATTACGATGCCATCATTTTTCATTTTATGGTTTCACAGTCAAAAAAACAAATTCCACACATTCAATCCCTGCTATTTATTTCAGTTTTTGTTTTTTTTCCATTTTTTTTCAAGGGTCTGAAAACTGGCCGGTCCTGAATGAGTTAAGAAGGACACACTGAATCGACTTGCTCATATTGAAATTTCTTCGGGTTCCGCTCCCTTCCGTGGAACATTCCTTGCACGTTCATGCCACAGATTCACCCTTGACCTCAAGCAAGGGGTTATAACATAGGCAGGCCGGCGCGAGATAAATATCACAGTGTACTACCAGGGTGCGAGCTGCCTCATCGTTCTGCCAAATATTATATATCACTATGCAACCCGAGCTCCGTATTTAAAAAGAGTGGTCAGCGACAGGGCACGGTTCCTCTGCCGATTGACGCCGTACTTCAACTTCCCTCCTTTTTCTGTCGGATACAAACGGCCTCGGCTCTTCGTTCCGAGTTTGCAAACACCGTTCATCATTTAAAAAGGCACCTTAGCGAATTGAGTTTTCTTTGACTTGAAGAGCGAAAAAGTTTTGAACGTGGTTGTTATCACACGTTGACGAAGAAACATCTTGCTGTAAAAAGCGTGCAACTGCCGCGAGTGGGGATGGCGCGCGGATCAGAAAAATCTGTCAACTATGTCGATTTAAATCCGTGCGTGGTGGACATTGCTCAGCAAATGTGGCGTCCTCCAGCTCTGGATTCATGCCACCCTCCGCGAGATGGTGTGGATGATTCACGTGGCGTGCTTGACAGCTAAAATATATGCACTACGAGGCCCAGGAATGCTGGCGCAACATGAAAAATGGAAAAGCGGGGAGTGAGGACCGCCAAGCACACGGCTTTGGCTTTAATCCTCGATGTAACAACAAAGTTCAACTTTGACTTCAGGTTGTTGAGCATCATAATCCTCCGCTTGAAGCCTTTGAACAACCCGAAGTCGGCACGGCTCAAAGTTTATGACTCCGAAGCCTCCGCAGAATCGAGCTTTTTTGCTGAGCGGGGGGCCGGCGAGAGAGACTTTGCGCGAACGCCCGCTCTCGCCGTTCTGTGCTTTCACGCCCGGTGGTAGTAGCAGGCCTTGCGCCCCGCGGTTTGTCAAGCACAGCTCCTGTTATGAGAAACTCGCCATCAATCAAGTAAATTGTAGCTGAAGCAGTGGAAGAGTCCAAACTTGAATTGCAGTCGGGGACAGAAAAAACGGTTTCCAGCCCATAATTTTGTAACTCGGCTCCAATTTCATGGGAATAATATACTGAACATTTAGACTTGGTGAGCACGTCCACCTCACAGAGCACAGATTGCGGGTTCGAATCCCTAGCCAGTAAGGAGTTTCCATGTTCCACCTGCGTGGGTTACTCCGCTTTCCTCTCGCATTCCAAAAACCTGCACGGTTAGTTGATTGAACGCTCCAAATTGTTCGTAAGTGTGATTGCGAGGGCGAACGGTCGTCTGCGTGTGTGCCCCCGCGATAGGCCGGCAACCGGTTCCAAGTGGGACGGGCTCCAGCACGGGACAATTTGTAACCCCGCCTCCACAGTACGGCAGCACATAACAATAAAAGATCCATAACCCCAGTTCATTCCAATACAGTGGTACCTCTACTTAGGAACGTCTCTTCATACGAAATTTTCAAGTTATCAAACGCCTCAACAGGAAAATATTGCCTCTTGTCACGAAAGAAATGTCAAGTTATGAGAGGTAAAAATACACTATGGGCTGTAACTCGCAGCTCCGAGTTTCCTGAATGCAACCTCTGCCCACCCAATTTAACCTCCTGCCACCCCAGGTAGAACTGATCCGATTCATGGATGAGATATGTCAGGTTAGACCTCCCCTGCGTCATTGTTACGATGTGATCTGAGCAGGTGTGAGCTTTGACTTTTTGCCTCCGCTCGGCGCAGCTCCGAGACACTGACCCGCCCAGCTTGGTGGAGACCTCTCTGTCATCACCGCTAACCGGACGCCATCCGCAGCTTCAAAACGAAAGCGGAAAAAGGAGAAGGTTGCTCCGGCGCGGCAATGTTTTTCTTGGCCAGGAACCGCCAGATGCTCAGGGCATTGTGGGCACGTTGTCACGGTTGAAGCGGCCGCCACGAGTTGTCCTGCCACAACTTGCATCGTTAAACAAAGCAAACACTGGTTCTCTTTGTGGACGAGCTGTGTGATCGTCTGGCCCTCAAGGTCGTCGTTTGGCTTTGAAAGCGATCCTTTATAACGCCAGTCCTGGGACATTTCTGACACCACTCGAATAGACAAACAAGCATCGTGCCCTACAAACATTTTCGAATGTTCATTTCACCTGAAAGGCATGTTTTTCCAAACGTGAGCAAATGCTGGAGGACCCAGAGAAAACGCCAAAGGAATCCGTTGGCGGTAGTTTCCGTTTTTGCGTTTTGTATCCCAAGTGTGAGTCCCGTGTCATTGTGGAATTCGAAAAACATCTGTCCCAAACCTCAACCTCCCCCAGAATTACGCAACAGTTATTCCCCTATAAGCTTGTTGATTCCAAAGTATTTCATGTTCTCCCAGTCTGGCAAGTATTTCCACACGGGTGTTCGAGTTGCATTATTTTTTTTTTCCTAAAAGCTTTGCAGTTTTAGATTTTACCTCGAAAGGCCCCTGACGATCCAGGAAAATGTGAGCTCAGGATGTAGCTACGGTTACAAACGAAACACTTTGAGTCGAAGGATCCCAGAAGGGGAAAACCTCAGTGAGCACAACCGGCCTCAATCCTGCGGCCGTCGCAGAAAGTTCTTGCCGATTTCAACGGAATTTGAAAAGACTCCAGCCCGTTGAGGGCAGCTGCAGCCTTTTGAGAGATTTCGTACAATCACCACCTAGATGTGAAATAGTCCAGTGTTACATTCGGAGGCTTCCAACCTTGGGCTAAGTAACACTCAAAGACCTCAAGCTTGGCAAAACGCATTTTCATTAGCGTGCCATTCTTATGTGTGAAGTAACCGGAGGGTCGTCACAATTCAACAAGCTGTTTATTATGCTGTCGTAAACTAGCTTCAGAAGTAGCTGCCGCCGAGCTTTCCCGGGTGGCCAATCGATGCAGGCACACACACACACACACACACACACACACACACACACACACACACACACACACACACACACACACACACACACACACACACGTTGTCCCTTTGTACCGCATCAACTGCCCACTCGCATTCTCCACGATTCAAGGTCAGGCTATAAATTGTGGCAAATCTCGTCGGCGAGTTGGGACTTGAAATCAGATACCGTGTGTGGCGTTGTGGCTCAGAGCGCTGGTTAATTTATGACGATGCAAAATGATACGGTGGATACATGATCTAGTGAGTGTTTTGGTATCATTGGGAAATGAAGGTACATACTGCAACAAAAAAAAAATTATATATATATATATATATATATATATATATATAATTTTTTTCTCTGAATGTAGCTTTTTTTTGTTGCTCTTCTCTGATAAAAGGCCATCTATTCCATTGGTCCACATGACATGACATTTGTAAATAAGTCCTGTGAACTCTTCCTGTGGGGCCCCCCCCCACCCCCTCCAACCCCACCATTCAACTTCTGCTCGTGACGCTTGAGGCATGAACAGTTTTTTTCCAGCTTGATGTTTTTTGTCCCCAAATGGCAGTTGTTCTTCGGGCACTTTGGATTGAATGCGTGTCCGAATTTGCTCTGCATTTGAACCAATATGACATTTTCTTTTATGATTGTTGTTTTGACACAAATTGTTTTGGTTTGAGGGCATGTTGGGTTAAATGTGTCAGAATTTGCTCTAGATTTTGAAAAATACTGTCTGCATCCATTTTCTACCTCATCATGATCATGGGTGAGCTGTGGCTTAGCCCAGCCGTCTCGAGCCAATTGCAGGGTCGATGAACAACTATTCACACTTAGTTTTGAAAACCATTGCACCATTGACCAACCTGCATGTTTTTGGAATGTGGGAGGAAGCGGGAGTATGCCCACACAAGAACTGGTAGAATTCATGAAATATTAAAATAAAATCATACACATACAGTGTATTTATTTTTAGATCAGCAGGAAAAAAAAATAGATGTGGAAAGTGGACACACTTCCACGTCTGGTGGCACACAAGTCGATGTATTGACTGACGTTCAAAGTTGCAGAAGATCCTCTTCACTGCAATAGATCGGGCCAAGGTGGGGCGCAACATTCCAATGCCCAAAGATGGTCGTCAATCATGGGGAAGTCGCGCATGACGTCGGGTCCCATGGTGGGAGGCTCGTTGGGTGTACACAGCTCTCATGTTATAATTTTGGTCAGGAGGAGATGTTAAAAACGTCAACAAAGTCATTTTAACGCACTGTCTTTTGATAAAATCATTAACTAGCCGGTTAGCAGAACGTTGATGTCACCGTGCTAATGTTGCATTTTGCTTCGCTGCCTCGCTTTATCAAAGGTCGGGATCTGGTTA